AACATTTGTATTTTAACCTAAGAATGAGTTACTTCTCCAAGAAGCATTGGTTCCTTCTATTGGGGAATGGAATTTGAAACCATGATCTTGATGCTAGGTGTGCTAGGTTGCTATGAAGGTGTCTTTGTTTCTAAGCTCTGTCACTGACAGAGCAAAATGTACGCATGATAATCTGAGTATATACAAGTCTATACATATTTCTGTGCTTAACTATCTGCATCTCTACTAAATACTAATTAGTTTGTACTGCTGCCTTCACTTCTGATACACTGGTACCCATCCATGGCTCTCTCTCCTTGGCTGTACTCTGTGACTCCTATAGTGAGAAGCCTGCTCCATCTCTTACATCTGGTTTTCAATTGTATAAATGTCTCACATCACTTTTAAAAAAATTTTTGAAGTAAATTAGGCAAAAACTGAATCAAACTATTTAATGTGTTCATTATACTTTTTCAAATTAATTTAGATTCTTACCTATTTCCTATTGGTACAAGGAGTCAAACTCCCAGCACCATCTTAACATGCATCATTATCATATCAACACTGATAGATAATTATTGGGCCCCTCTGTAGGATCCCAGGTTAAGCTGTGGCTAGCCTCTGGGGAAACCTTGAGATGCTGTACCATCGCCACAACATGACTGATTGGTCAATTGCATACAGGTACATCCATATTCTTCTTTAGTTTCTGTATAGTTTAGACTTAAGAAAAGTTCATTGGAACCATTGTATATGTACTTTCTAGTGTTTCAAATAAATTAGACTCATCCTCTGAGTCTGTAGTTAGCATTAGCCAGGAGGGGTGAAAAAGACTAAGTGAAGTGTCCGTTGCATGGCAGGTTCATAGTAAGTGCTTATCTCCATTTGGATGTGTAATATTCATCTCAACATGTGCAAAACACTCCTGATCATTCTGTATAAAAATCTGTCTGCACACGTTCTTCTTCATCGCAGTTGATGGCAAGCCTGTTGTTCTGGCACCTAAACTTCAGTGCCTTTGTTAGTTTCTCTCTTTCACTCACAGTACATATACAGCCTGTCAGGAAACCCTTCAGAAGCTATGTTCAAGACACGACCAGAAACTGACAGCTTCTTTCCTCACTGTCCCACCACTGAGTGGGATCCCAGCCTCTGTCCTCACTGCATGGATTGCTGTGCAAACCTTTCACTGGTTTCTCATACCTGCTTCTGACCCATTGTGGTCTTGAAGCTGGAGAAATCCTAGAAAAGTGTCAGATCCTATCACTTTTCTGCTCAAAAGCCCACGGTGATTTTCCATATTCTCAGCCAGAGCTACAATATTTACACTAGCCCACAAATCTCTAGGGAATCTGCTTTCTTCTTCCCTCCCATTAGCACTCTGACCTCATTTGTTACTACTTTGTCCTTCTAGTCCTCTACTTCATTCACCGTGGCCTAACAGCTCCCCCTCCCACACTGGAAATATGATCCTGGCCAAGGGCTTTTGCCTGCTGTCCCTGCTGCCTGCAGGGCTCTTCTCTGATATCTGGGGTTAAACGCTTCAAGTCTATCAAGTACAGCATTTGTTTAAATGTCACTTTCTCAGTGGAGCCTGCTGTGATCATGATGTTTAACACTTCCCTAAACTCTGTTTCCACCCTCCCAATCCCTCTATCCAAACTCAGCTTGACTTTCCCCAAAGACACCGGTATTTTGATAGAGTATAATGTGGTCAGTTGTGCTTATTGTTTACTCTGTTTCCTGCAGCTAGAATTCAAGTGCACAAAGGCAGAGATCTTTGCTTACTTTTGTTCACTGATATGTCTTAGTTGCCTTGAGGGAAAAAAATACATACATTGAATGAAAAAAAATGGATTATTTGAACTCTGGGCTTTATGTACCACAAGTTATTCTTAAATTTTTAAAATCAACTCTAAGGGAAATTGAATTGAGAAATTAAATTGATGAAAAGGTGTTAGGTGGGTAAAGGTTGTCTATAAAAGCATTTACTAAGGGAACTGGGGTTTAAATTTCTCACTCATTAATGACTATGAATATATGAAAATTATATTAAGATTGTTGTGACTTTAAATGAAACTATGTACATAAAACCAGTTAACGTGAGATAAGCATTTCCTAGAAGGCTTTGATACCAGAGGTGAGTGTTTATAAACTGGTAGAGGCCACTTACCACTTCTTCTATGATGTTGTTCCTCTGAGGACCCCTTCTTCCTTTAAGTTTGAAATAATGATGAGCACATATTGAGAATAGGAAAACAGCTCCATATATACGTTCATAAGGGCTCATAAAATTATATTTTACCAACATAAGAGAAATACTGAGTTCAATAGTCACTAAGATTGTAAACTTACAGGGGAAAGAATTGAGAATTGTTACACATTTTTAAAAATGTAGACTGGTAAGTACAGAAGGGCTGAACATTTAACACAGGTACATGTTTTCCTTTCACTGTGTTTTTCAAAAGTACATGTAACTTGTATAAAGTTTGTGGGTTCAGGATGTCCCTAGGCAGGGTTACTTTTTTTCTTTGAAATATTAATATATAGCTGCAAATGCAAGCATTATTGGCATCCCATTACGCTTGGCATTGCAGAGAGTGCCAGTGAGCAAAGTGGGCATCAGGAATCTGACAGTACACTAAAAAGTGAGAATGTGCTTGAGAAGTAAGTTTACCTCTCTGGTGAATTTCGATGAATTTCGATGATGACCTTTTATGTTTTTCTTAGGATACTACAGTTTTACTTTTGGTTTTCACTTCCCCTCTATTTTTAAACCAGTAATAGGAAAAAGTGAAGATAGTTAAGCGTTGACACTGGAAAGGTCACAGTAACACAGATTGACTTCAGTTCATACAAGAAGAGTGTATTAGTCCATTTTCCATTGTTACAGTGAAACAACGAGGCTGAGTGCTTTACTGGCTCACAGTTTTAGGGCCTGATAGCCCAAGATTGCTAGCTCCATCCATTTGGCCTTTGGTGACAGCCCCCTATGCACATCCCTTCATGCAGATGGAATCATGGTGGGATCAAGTGTGCAAGGGAGAGATCACCTGCTGTAGGACAGAAAGCCGCAGACTGGGAAGGAAGGGCCCTGTCTTAGTCTTGCCCTTTGTAACAGTCCACACAGTCCAGAACTAACCAGCGTCCTTGGAGAACTAAGTTGATCTCTTCTGAGATTGATGCTCCAAATAACCTAATAGTCTCCCTATTGGGTCTGTTTCTTAAAAGACCAGTATCTCTAAACGTCATCATACTGAGGTCTTAAGTTTGAACACATGAACCTGAGAACACACTCAAATCAGAGCAAAGCAAAATAAATTTTACCAAAAGTAGACAAAAAGTACCAGACTTAGTATTACCTACATTACCCTTGGTTTAAGTGTTTCACTTAATCTGGGTCCTTGGGCAATGTATGCTTCTCTGTAAGGCTGTTATTTGTATCAGAAGGACACTTTTATTAGTAATAGTTTGCATGATAAGCAATGATTTCATAAGTATTTCAATTTTTAAAAATACAACTAACAGCCGGAGATATGGATATAGCTCAGCGGCATAAGCGCCTGCCTTGCAAGCGCACAGTTCAAGAGTTCCATCCCCGGTACCAAAAAACAAAACAAACAAACAAAAAAATGATGAATAGCAGAATAGTAAAGCCAATTAAGTATTCAGTAAAATTACTTTCTCTAGTAACATTATAGGATCTAGTATCATTCTCCTAATTTAGATGGCAGAAACATGTTACTCACTTTTAGATATTTCTCAGTCTTATACTTTTAATTTTTGTTGTTAATCCAACTAACTTTGTTGTGCTTATTATGTTTTTCTCATGTTGTTCATGAGAAACATGTTGTTCATGCCAGTTTGCCTTATCCCAAAAAATTGGGAATAGCTTTAAGTCTTTTTAAAATGTGAGTTTTCTAAAACCTGGTTTCTTGTATATGAATATGTACAAATAAGATGAAATCTGATATTAATATATTTATGTATATAAATATAAATGTCTAAAAATGTATATATGGTATTTATCATTTATTTGGTAAGTATATAATCATAAATGGTATTTTTAAGCTGAATAGCTGATTCTTCCTTCCCCCAGATCAGTATCATTAGTGCTACCCTGTGAAATTGATTTTTGAACATTTGTCTTAAAAAAAAGCACATTAGATCCCATACTTGGAATACTATTATCAGGCCCAACTATTTGAACTCTAACTATTTTTTTCTTATATAGTTGAAATAAAAGGCGGAGTCCACTCCTACAAGGAAGAGACTGCCAGAAACTGATATTACACCTACTGCTTGTTGTCTATTAATATTTGGAGATTACTAATCATATATAATGTTCTGATATAGTTTTGACATTATATAATATGAATTATTTTCCTTACAACAAATTATGTTTTATGCCTTACAACTTTAACCACTAAAAAAAATTATTTAAGAAATTGTTTCTCTGAGTAGAGCATTAACAAATCTCCTCCTTCTCTTTATAAATTATGTTTAACATTCTAGATTGCTCCACTGGAAACATATAAAAAATGTAAAAGTAAAAATGACCACTGACTGGTAACCTCCCTGAGGACTGGGAGGGGATGAACCATATATACCTACTGGAAGCCATAGCTTTGGGCTTCTCTTAAGTCAAGTGTGCTTCGTGTTCTTGAGTGTGTTCCTCATTGTGGAGACCTCAAAGTTTTGTTTGTGGGTATTCCCAAGTCTGAACTAGCATGGTTCTTATATCATAGATGTATTTCACTGCCTGTACCTCACTACTTACTGTGGGCCCTGGAGAATGGTCCCTAGACTCATCCTACTGAAGAGACATCCTGTGTTTGGCTTACATCCTTCTGCAGAGGTGACCTGTGGCACATGCTAGTCTATGATACATTTTGGTCTTTTGAGGATTATTCACGTATCCTCCTGGACCCAAGAACACTACTGGTTGGGCAAAATACACCATACTACATATTCAATATGAAAAATATAACAATACTAAGTGATGTTTCTTTGTTTTTCAGAAATGTGTTACAGATGAATGTTTCTTTTTTGAACGACTGGAATCTAATAACTACAACACTTACCGGTCAAGGAAATACTCCAGTTGGTATGTGGCACTGAAACGAACTGGACAATATAAACTTGGGTCCAAAACAGGACCAGGGCAGAAAGCCATACTTTTTCTTCCAATGTCTGCGAAGAGCTGATTTTAATGGCAGCGTTTGATCTCATTTCACATGAAAGAAGAATTGTATTTTAGAAAATTGTTAATAAGAAAAAAAGAAATGTATATAGCTTAGTTTGGATAATAGATCAAATATCTTTTTATCTAATAGTAAGATATTTAACCATTGCCTCAGTAAAGAAAAACAACAAAAATTCTTGGAAATGTAGACCTATCCCTTTTATATAACATCTGTTGTTCCCACTGAAGATTACCTATACTAGGGCTATTATCTTTTTCACATATGTGCTTTATTTCAAAAGAGGATTTTAAAGTGGACATATTTACAAACAACTTTTCATCATGGAAAATCATGATTAGAAAATCAGCATCAGATATTTAATCAATGCCAAATGTCAATGTCTTATAGTATATATTAATCTACATGTAGAGTTTACTTCAAATTTTTAAAAAAACATGTAAATGTGAACTTAATCCATTCCTGTCATAATTTTATAATTCTCTGGCAGTTCCTTGTGATAGAGTTTATAGAACAGGCCTGTATAAACTGCTGGAAGTTCTTCCATGGTGAGGTCAATCTTGTCAAATCCTTCTCTGTATCCATACAGCAGCAGCCTGGCCACTCTGCTAGTGATGGGAGTTGTATTTTCAGTCCTGATCAGGTCATTGAGATCCATCCACTCACATCTTAAGCATTCGTGCTGGCAAAAATCTATTGTGAATGAATGTGGCTTAAGGCGGCAGATGATATACATATCTGACTTCCCAAAAGCTCCTGGATTGGTGTGCTGTTGTCGAATACTCAGGAGGGACCTGAATTCTGATTTTATACCAGTCTCTTCAAAAACTTCTCGGACTGCTGTGTCTCCTAAATAAGAGAGAAATATACAGATCATAAGGTCCCAGTTTGACAGACCTTATCACCAAACATTTTCAGTTAACATCTTAAAAGTTCAAAAGCAAAACTTTCAAGTGTTTATGTTCAGCTCAAACTCTTTGCCCTTTGGACATCCTGAAATATCAAAATATTTTATTACTGCTATCCATTTAAGACTGTTTTGAAATACTGGATATTTCAACTGCTATTTGGAGGCTTATCTACTTGTATAATTTGGAGACTCACATCTTTTTAATACTTCTGTGCTCTATTTCTCAAAAGGTAAAAATGTAGGTTACAAAAGTGAAAATAAGTTGCAAAGTATAGATAATATTTGGATATATTACTTTATTGTTATCCTGTTCCTAATCATACACCAAAACTCCCTAAATTTGTATATATCAAGATTGAGAAAAAGTGGTCTACTCTTCTAAGGGTCTGTAGAACTGTAAACTGTACTTAACCTCTCCTGGTGATCAGAGGTGGCATGTCAAGTCTGCTGGTCATCTACCAGATTCTTTTACAACCATTTAATTATACTCCTTTAGTGATGAAACCACTAGTTTACAACCATTTAATTATGCTCCTTTAGTCAGTGAAATCTCACAGTAGTAATTTTCAGCAGTGCTATTGTTTAAGATTCTAAAGAATTTGAATTTATTCCTTCAGTACCAAAATGCAAGTCATTTCATGAGAAGTTTTCAAAAAACTAGAAATATACAGAATTTTATAATACAATAATGGTTTTCACATTTCATAAGGTTGATTTCTCAATTAAATGCAAATTTATGGCAGGATTTTTTAATACCATAAATATATTTGTGTTTGCTTTTTCTAAACACCCAGAAACACTAAAATGGATTTTATTTACTGCTGTGATGGCCTATTATGATCTCCCAAAGCTTGATGCAAATCCCTTTGAAACACTGCCTTCCTTGACTATTTTTCTGGGAAGCTCCATGACTGCCATACGTTGTTGTTCAAATATCTTTTAGTGCCTCCCCTGTTTGTCAAGCTAGTAAATGATTTTTGCCTTTGCAGTAATCCTACTGGCAAAAAATAGGCAAAGAAGAGGAAGTCCAAAAAATGTCTCAACTGCAAGTTCTCTGACTATACATTGTCTTACCAGCCCCAGGGTATGCCCTTGTGTTTGTTTCTCAGAAACAGCTCTACAAAGATTCATAGGGAAATAATGTGTCCTAAAAGTAAGATATTTATCTATTACTTTTCGATTATATACTCATTTTCTGTATAATTGATATTGCTTATAGGTTAAATGTGGCTAGAAATTACATTTTAAAACTGAAAGCACTGGGGCGAGGGCGGGGGTGTAGCTCAGTAACAGAGAACTTGCCTGGCCTGGCCTGGCCTGTGTGAGCCTAGAACTGGTCATCAGCATCCAGAAGAGAGAGAGGTGGGGATAAAACTGAAAGCATAACAGGCCAGTTTAAGAGAAACTTAGTTTAAAGAGAAAAATAATTTTAATCTGTAATACATATATTATTAAATTTAGTATTAAGGATTGGCATTAGTCTTTATGGTCCATAGATTCTTACTCAAATATGTATATTTATTTAAATGCTCTGAAAAATAACTACAAGGGCTATGCCTAGCTCTTAGTACCACTAATCAAAAATTGGGTATATCGACAGATACAGTGGTGCACGCCTGTAAACCCAGCACTCAGGAGGTGGAAAGCAAGATGATGGCAAGTTCAGGGTCAGCTGGGTCTACATAATAAGACCTTATCTCAAAAGGCCAAAACCAACAGCCACCAAGTTGGGCATTTATAAAGTTGATGAGTAGAAGCTGTTCACATGTCTTAAGCACAGGATGGGGCTAGTGAGTCAGTCTGTCCTGCTTAGCAGTCAGCATTGTAGTTGACTGAAATTCAGTGGTGCCTGGACAGTTCTGATGAGTGTACCCTGACTTAGCACATCACTGGCCAGACCGAAAACTGGACGGCAAAGTGCTTTTGTGTCTGGGATATGGGAGACACCTTCCACTTCTAAGTGGAAATCTCTTCCTGAAGGATTTCAATGTGCATTTAAATTTTTTTTTTAATCAAGATAAAGCAATTTTTTCTATTGTGCCTTTAAAATTATTTTAATATACTACAAGCTAAACTGAAATAACATTGATAGATGTAAGAACATAGGAAAAATGAAGTTTTAAATTTTTACTGGTTGAGATATACTTAAATGTGTCATATTTTGTTCAACAGGAATGAAATGGAATTTATAGTTATTTCTATTTTTATAATATTTAATAAAATTAGACTGACATAAAATAGGAAAAATATTGCAGACTGTGGGTGTTTCCCAATGACTAGTGCACTGATAAGCTCTGATCGGACCCGGCTGCTTCACAGTCCTTTGGCTACTGTCTTTGTCAGGGATAACAAGTTTTTTAGGAAGGCAGTTTGTCTATTTTAACTGTACAGACCTTTACACTCAAGCCTTGAAGACTGAGTTCTATTATGTATATGACCCTATTTTTTTAAAACACACTTTAAAATTATGTTTCATTTACCTATACTATCAGAGAACTAAAGATTCCAAACAAGTTTTTCAAGTTCATTAGTGTTTATTTAATGGGGATTATTAAATCCAACTAAGAGCCAGTATAAATGTTTGTTTTTCTTGGCAGTATTCATAGATACTTATGTTAGTTACTTTCCTAAAATATGATTTAAAGAAAATAGTTTAATTTTTGGATGATTTGGCTTTAACACTAGGAAAGTATTTTTTTGTATTTTTGTAAAACCTGAATGCTCACTTTGTAGACATAGTCTTTTTTTAGACCTTTGCTATCAGTTATCATTTCTAGCTTCTTCAGGATTTTTTCAGTGTTGAAACAAAGCTTTTAATTTATACTACATATAGGCAGTAAAGTGAATTACTGATTTTTTCTTGATTACATATGGCTGAGGTTTATGCTCTGTGATCAAAAAGTACCATGAATGTTTAAATTATTAAAACATTTATTATAGCAGAAAACACATCGCCATTAACAACCTCAAAATATTCATTTTGAACACAATCCATCTTTCTTGTCACCATCTGGAGCAGTTCTGGCGGTACTCTTTTGTGAGTGTCCTAAATTGTGCTGTTGGGGCTATGACAGTGCCCTGAGTCCTTCAAAATATTTTCCTCTCATGGTCATTTTGACTTTGGGAAACAGCCAAAAGTTGCAAGGTGTTAGAATGAGTGAATAAAGTGGGTGAGAACACACCTTAAATTTGTAGGGGATTTGTCTTTCCATTAGAAGACTTGTAATAGTAGTCACTGTATTTTTGATCATACTTTATACAGGAACTCAAAAGACAACTCTAGAACTTCTTCTGAAGATGGCAAGAATTATAAGTGTGTTTGGAGAAAGAAGGAATCTTTTGAGAGGGGTAAATAGCAATGTGTACTGTATCATAAATTTTAAAAATTCATTATATTTCAATCATTCCTTGTATATATGGTCTAGATAGGTGAGTTGATGTGATAATCACATACACTTTAATGTGAGATAATTAGGATAAATTAGCCTTGGAAAATAAATGGCCTCTTTCAATACCTGCATTTTCACAAAATACTTATGTCAACAGAATACTTGAGAGTCTGAGTAGAAGGCCAGTAAGTATTTAAAACCAAAACTTGTATAGACATATCTTAATATTTCCGATGTACTAATGGATTATTAGGTTGCTTATATGACATGTGTAGGGGATTGAAAATTTGATCAAGAAAAGACACTTTTGAATGAAAGTAAATTTAGGATATCACTATAAAGTTTTTGATTAGAGAAAATAGAGGACATACATATTAAGGAAAAGATCCTTTAGAAATAAAGGACCTTTAGAAATAAAATGAATTACTTATTAGGGTTATATTGAGTTTGATCCAATAGTTTAAACAATAGATACGGACAGTTCCAATTCTTCTGTTTCTTAATAGAATTCTTAGCTTATTTGCTATCTATGTGTCTTAATATGGAGTTTAGTGAACTGTTTCATGGGTTAATTTTCACTTGAAACTTTCTTACATGACATATTACTAAGCTTTAGTTTTCTAACTATACAAAAATAAATGGATAAAAACTTCATGAAGAACATATAACATCCCTATTATTTTGACTTTACTGATTTCAGAGTTTACTTAATATTTGTCCTTTTGTGATGGAATGATCAAGAATTTGTTTTCTCATAGTTCTATTCCATCAATAATTTTAGTCATATTCAAAATAACCTAACTAGTGAATATCCAGAGCTGCTCCTTTTCATATGAATTAATCTAAAAAGAAACAGAAGAATAAGTATTGCTTTACTAGTTGTATTATTTATACTAATGGAACAAATTGGAACAATAGATATTTAGCTGGTAATTGTTATTAGCCCACAGTTTCTTTCTGAAACTTTCTTACTTGGTTTGAAACAATTAGAGAATTTAAATTCTTATTTTTAGCTATAAAGGAAGAAAGTAAATACATGGTTTTTCTTTATGTTATCAAGCTCACTAAAAATACATAAGATACATACCAATGTCTTCTCCAGGCTCTGATAGTCCTCCTGGAAGCTTCCACATATTTTTTAACTGCAGTGTAAAATCAAAGTTTATATAAAAAACATTTATTTACTAATACACATGCATAGATTTCACAAAATCCACCTATAGTTGGTTAGTGTCATTGAGAATTTACTTTTTGGTAATTGTATAAAATTTTTTCCAGCTTCCATAATTCCTCCTTCCTTTTTCCAAGGGAAGTGGTGACATTAAAGCTTTTCCTACCTTTTTTTCAGGGAACAGAGGCGGCTTTATTTAGTCAATGTGATAAAATTTGTACTAAGGAAACTTTGAAGGGAAATATCTACTGCATTTGTGTAACTTAAAAAAAAGTTTTCTGCTAGTAAACTATGAACAAGTAAGAGTCTTAACAGATGCTGCTATATATGTGTATGTGTAGAAAGTATGAAATAAATGTAATCACTGAGTATGCTATTCTTAATTTTCATGTCTATTTTGCTATATTGTGTTTCTATTCACATATTACTCTTTGAGATTTCTGTTTTATGTGTTAAAAATCTTATGTAAAAAACTGCTTTTCATGGGTAGTATGAATAAAATTGATTAGTTTTGTGTTTTCATGTCTTTTTCTTTTTTTCTTTTGGTGGGGAGAGGGTCAGGTAGGAATAGCCAATCTTTGTAATAGATGCATAGAAACAAACTGCTTAAAGATAACTATAACAATATTTTTATGACCTATATGTCTATTTTTCCTTTTAGAGTTTTGTTATATCTCTCCATCTCCATGTTAAAAACTCAAGAATAACTGAGACATTATAATATACTCCAGGGAATTTGTACCTTTAGCCAGACATTTTATACTCTTCATCCATGAAACAAGTTGTAGAACTTTTACTGTGAGCTTTGGGACCCACTCATTTCCTGGATGAGTGCTTCTTAAAAGAATGTGTCGCTTCTCAGCTATGCTAGCTTGGAGGCCAGTGGCATGGTTCCCAGAATTTTCACAGACTGTTGATTATGTGGGTATAGAATTCAGGCTTTCCACCCTTCTGTGTCTGGTTTAAGCTTGACAGTAAATTTATAAAGTGTATATGCTTTATTAATGTCAAAATCTATTTCATAATTACCTATCCATTGCCATTTTTGAGTTTCATTTTGAAAAAATTTCCAGGAGCTTTTTTTCTTCAAAAACTCTGGGCTTTTGTCTGACAGGATACTGGACACCAGCATCATAAATATTATTTGTAACACAAAAATGATACAATGAAACAGATGAATGCTTCCTAAAAATAATAAAAGTAGAGTTTTAAAATCCCTGCCTGACTGGAAACTTTATCTGGAGACTCCAAGATTCATTAGAAGGGGGAGATGCTAGATACAGGGATGAAAAACAGTTCACATATATTTTTATTTCATAAATTAGGGCCTTGATATAGAAAAATTAGGCATGCATTTATGCTGGCAAATAGTTTGTGCATTTTGTGACCCAATTAGATTTATAAAGCTTATTTCTATAGCTTCCTTCTGTCCCCCAAAAATCTAACTCTAAGCAATAGGTAGAGAGCCCTAAATTATGTTGTTTGAAAAACCTGATTAATAGTCTTCCTATGATCAATAGTGAGATAAGCACATCTTACCAGTTTTTTTACTTTGAAAAAAGATTCCGAGTAATGGTTAACATAATGATACTAAATATTAAATAATATATTGAATGGTTACTATATAGTAGACATTCTGATAAATGTTTTTGTAAGAACTATGCATAAACACAGTAATCTTATGAGAATCTACTACTGTTCCCATTTTAAAGGCGATAAAACCTGAAGGCATAACAATTCAAGGTCACAAACACAGTGTGTGATAAACTCAAGGTTAAAATCTAAGCAATCTGATATATTTTTTTTAAATCAGTACCAGGGATCCAACTCACGACTGCACGCTTGCAAGGCAGGCACATATACCGCTGAGCTAAATCCCCAGTCCCCAAGCAATTTGATTTTATCTTCTAAGAAATTTCACTGGGCCAGAGATTTAGCTCAGTAGCACAAGCACCTGCCTGGCAAGTACAGGGTGCGAGTTCAACTCCTGGTACAAAAAAACCAAACAAAAAGCCAAAACAACCAAGTGGATTTGCTATTTGTCACAATCTTTTACTGCATGCTTTTTTGGTACCTTTTGATCTTTTCCTCAGACCTAACTGGAATATTCAACATGAATTCAATCGGAATCTATATCTTACATTTATTTTCCTGCAGGGTTTGTGAATTTGGACTAAACCCTAATGTAGTGTTGAAATCTTTGTATCTACCTATGGTCTGTGAATTCCTCACCTAACATTATTATTTAGTGATTTATTATTACTTTGTCTTTCCAGTATATTATTTCATGGGGAAAAGATTACTGAGGTCAGGTTTTGAAAAGTTAGCTTTTTTGATTTTGTTTTTCATCTCTGTTCTTTTCTATAAAAGAAGACCAAATCTCTCTATGTGTCAAGTGTAAAATTCCATGATCCTTTTTCCACTTAATCTTAAAGGGGAATTTTCCACTCTCCTCTAAAAGGAGTATTTTTCTAAAATGTTTTAGTGTCCCATTGCTTTATTGGGGGCTACTCACAGGTATACCTCTCCCTGGGAGTTAGTAAGCTCATCTAATTCCTTAAATGTATGTTTTACATACTACAAAAGGTAAAGTATTCTGATCACTTTCTAAACTACATGATTTTTAAACAATGTTTAGAGTAGCTCCATTGTATTTCAGAATGGTGAAGAGGATGACAGATTTTCTCATGCATTTGCTAATTACAAATCTGGTGTGTGTGTGTATGTGTGGATAGGCGTAAGTGGACCACAGTGGACTCCTGGTGATGTAACAGTAATGTCATCTCTCACTCTTCTTTCTTTCCCATTAGGGATTCCTAGCCCAAAAAAAGGCATTTAAGTATCAACAAAAAGGCACATTTCTAATCAACTTTTCAGAACTACCAAGAGAATGTAAGCTATTTTCTCTGTTAAAGCAATCTGGAGCTTAATAGTGTATCATTCCTTTTAAAATTTGTGCTGAAAACTCTATTTAGAGTTTCAAGGACAGTTGAAAGGGAATGCTTTTTCTCACTGTTTTTCTAAACCCATAGACATTTGCTTCCCTCAGCAGAGGGTCAGATGTAGGACCTTCCTTGGGAATAGCTTGTGAAATTGTATCCAGGATTTTCTGGAAACATGCCACCCCGAAAGACCACTAATCCCTTTCAGCTAACCTGAACAAGAGCACAGACCTGCTACTGTCTTCTGTTTGGTTTTCTTTTCATTATGTGACCTTGTTCTGTCTTACCCCCACCTGCCAAATGCCAGAAGCTGGGTTGTAATTTTCATTGTATTTAATGTTACTACTCTGACTTTCCGCAATTCAGCCCTACTTGTATTTAGGTTAATTTCACTGACTACAACATTATCACTATTATCAGTACCACAGAAGCTGTCATCCAGTCTCTCAGACTGGTCAGTCCATTGAACCAAAATGCATTACATGCTAGGCATATAGAAATTAGTGTAAGGATAGCAAACCCAATCATTTATATCATACATTTGACTATAAACTCAAAGTGCAGAAACACTATTTACTGATACGTACCTAGTACTTAGCACAGAGCATAGGGTGTAGTATGAAAGGGAAATAAGTAATATTTAGTGAATGAATGTACCTCATTCTATTCTATATGTTAGTAGCTGTGATGTTACTATATTCCAGGGACTAGCATCACCTTATTATACTGCTGACAGCATGCTGACTGGATTAGGAAGCAGGTGTCCAGTACTCTACATGTGCTAGGAAGATATCTATGTATCAGAGAATAAGAGACATTCCCATTAATCTTCAGGGTAAAATAGACTGTGGATCTCTAAGATAATTTAGGGGTGATTTGTACCTCGCAGCCACCTTCACTCAGCAGCATTTAGAGTTGTGTCTCTACAGGGTGGAGGCAGCATCTACCACATTTGACTGCACTTGTCCACTTCATTCACAACAGTAGAAAGCCTAGATCCTTTTCCTGTACTGTTAACTCATAAAGTCACATTCTGATTTATAATTCAGTCATTTAGTACTTGAATTAATCCTACACAGAATCTAAGTATCCTTGATTAAAGGGATTAGATTTGTTAACAAAAGAATCAGTTGCCAGATCAGCCACTTGAGAGACCCAAAAGCGAAAAGATTATAAATACAAGATTACAAATTAATAACAGGATTAGTAATATAGACTTCTCTATTTCCTATTTGTAGACTTGACTCTTTATTTGGATCATCTAAAAACTATAAAAATAATCAAGTTAGGTTTTGAGAAGTAATAATTACTCTTACTTAATCATCTCTTTTCCATAGTGTTTCTTTTCCTCTTGCCTTTCATGGGCCTGAATGGGTGCTGCTTGATCTCAGTGCTGGTTCCTGAGCTGAAGGAAATTTAATGCCAGTAACACACAGGGCTCTCTGTATCACACACTGAGAACACAGCTCCTTTCTACACTGTGTGCCGTTTAGAGTCCATTCTAATGTTCTCAGTTCTGTCTGGTCCTCTCCTCTCTTCCCCATCTCTCTCCTTTCCTCTCCTCTGTCCCATCCCTTCGTGACCTCTCCCCACATTCTCCTTCTCCTGGCTCTTTCCTCTCCTCCCTGCTCCTTTCTTCCTCTATTTCTGTTCCATTCCTGTTTCTCTCTCTCTCCTGCTTCTCCTTTCTCTCTTCTCTCCCTTCTGTCTCAACTCTTCCCTCAATCCCCTTCCCCTCCCTCTCTGCACACACTCTCCCAGCTTCCTCTTTCCTCTTCTCATCTCCCTCTTTTCTTCCCCCATCTGGTTTCTTTCCTGTCTCTTCTCACTCTCCCCTCCCCTTCCTCTCATGTCCCTCTCTTGCTCCGTCTCCCCGTCTCTCTCCATCGCTCCCTTCCCCTCCTTTCTTTCTGTCCCTACCCTCTCCCCCTGCTCTTTGTCTCCTCTTCTCTCTCTCTCCTCTGTCCTCTCTCCTTTCCTCGCTGGGAAGCATCTACTCATGTTTTCTGCACTGTTTTAAATGCCACCTTCTCTGAGAATTCTTAAAGCAAAGTGACTTGTACCATCTGTTTTATGACTTTATCCAAACCAGCCAGGGATATGCCTTCCTAATCTTCGTACTCTCAGCACCTGGCACGAGGCAGCATCCTGATGAACGCTGAATGAATGAACAGTGTCTTAGTAATGTGTTAGAGACACAATTGTCTTCCCATGTAGTTATAAGTATGATGTGGCCATAAAGTTTAGTAAGCAAACCTGTCACTTTGACATTTTCAAGGCCTGTATAAGTTACTTTTTGACTTATTTAAATAACAAAATCATCTAATTTTATTTTTTGACAGTTTCTTAAGCATATCAAAATTTCTTTGTCTCTAGCGAACAGTTAGGAAGCAATTATGTTAACAGAGGCAACTTACTTTATGTCGATCTTGTACAACCAATATTTTTCTGGTACTTTCATCAAATACAGCTCCTTTTGGGGGAAAAATAAAAGGTAATGGAGAAGTATTAATTTCATTTAGCTTTGACTTCTTCCATGCTAATCTATGGTTATTAAAATCCTAGTATGCTTGAAGACCTAGCTAAAGTACCACTGCATCCATGAAAACTTACAAATCTTGCTAGTAATGAAGTGATTGCTTACTTGTCCATATTTTTTTTAGCAACTTTTACAGTACCAAAGATAGTTCTAACATATGCTAACATATAGAATAATCATTCACATAGGTTTCTTTTCTAAGTTTTCCATTTTTCATAGTACATAAATTAATCTTTTTCTAGTATTTTCTTTAGTGACACTACGACATGTCAGGTACTTTTATAGGTGCTAGAGTATAGTGGTTACCAAAATTCCTTATCTTTATGGGTCACACATTCTGGTATGTATGTGGACAGGGGACAAAGATAAGTTATAAAGAACATCAGAAGGTTGGTAATATGTAGAGATGATATGTAGAAGGATTAGAAATTTGTAACACAAGGAAAAGTAATTGAAATGAAGCCAAAATAAAAATACCTCACATTTTTAAAACAAGAAGGAAAACCACTAAGTAAATTATAAATAACAGTAGGGATGAATTCTATATTAAAATGTAAACTATAATTGCACTTTTTTTTTTTTTTTTTTTGTACCAGGGATCAAACTCAAGATCTCATGCTTGTCAGGCAGATGTTTACACTGCTGAGCTAAATCCCTGGACCCTAATTGCACTTTCTAAGGGAGAGAATGCAAGGAAAATGCACCCTTAAGTTTTAGTAATTTGTGATTGTCCAAACTGAACTTTTCCCTAATGAATTCACATGTGATCCCAAGAAACATAATTTGAGCGACCTCTGCTGGTCACAATATAAAAACTAAATCAACCCAAGATCTGGGATTATCTGGAAGTCCCTAGTCCATTGTATTACTAGAATTAGCAGGGCACTGTGTTAAGTGGTGTATGTGCATTATCTCAGGTACTCATCACAATAGTTCTGCGAATATCATAATGAGTGACTGAGTTCACTGAACCTTACAGGGCAAAAAGTAGGCTTAATCGCACGTCTGAATTCCAAGGCACTCCTCTTAAAGGGCTGATATTTCTACTTAAAGATACAACCATTCATTCATGAAGTAGTGGGTGCCTGCTTCAGGCCAGACTCTTTTCTGCCTGAGAATATGGTGCCAAACAAGACATAAAATACCTGTCTTCATTGTTACTATTGTTGTGTGGGAGATTAAATACATGATACACATTCAGACTTTTAAGTGTTAAAAAAATGAATATGCATAAAGGAACAAAGTCTGATGGGACTGGCATGTGGGAGAACCCTATTTTAGAAGCTTTTCTGAGAAGAAGATATTTGGGTAGAAAGCTCAGCTCTAAGAACTAGATGAGCAAAGCTTTGGAAGCACGCTGCAGAAAGAGGAGCCAGTAGACAAAAATGTTCTTGTGAGACATGAGCTTGCTAGGTCTGTAAAACAGAAGAAGGCCAGAGGCTCACTTCAGCCACACCTACCTCTGATGTTTGCAAGAACAAAAGTTAACTATTTTCTCTTAACCTAAAAACCTTTGTACCTTTGCAAGACAATTTGTTACATTACCATGCTCCTACTCCCCCCAAAACCATCTCAAAGGGGCTGGGGATTTAGCTCAGCGGCATAAGTACCTGCCTTGCAAGTAGGCAGTTGTTGAGTTCCATCCCTGGTACTGATAAAAACGATAAAGATCAAAAAAAAAAAAAGAAAGAACAAAACCATCTCAAATCCTAGCTGTCCTTCAAGAATGGTCGAGTTCCACATCTCCCATTCCACATCTTAAAGGCCTCAGGTACTTTTACACCAGCAGTGGTGAACCTATGGCACTCGTGCCAGAGTGGGCTGTTAGTATCATTGAAAGCTCTAAAAGGTTCGCCATCACTGTTATCTATAAGCTACTATATAATAGTTATAAACAGGTCCTTTGATAAGATTTTCTTTATGTGTACTGTATATTACTGATTCTATAATAACCAGATCAGTATGACTTTCCTATGAAGTGTGAAGCTGTCACCAAATTTATCAAGCAGTATCTTTTGAAGTAGACCTGAATGGAAAATTTCTGAATGTCTACTTGCTACAGGGTTGTATGACCACAGACAAAGAGCACGTTATTAGACATGCCTGAACAGCTCCTTTAAACAACTTCAGATGTACAAACTATCTCAGAACCTAGCAAATTATATGAAAGCATATAAAATTACTAATTATATTACTGATTTAATTAAATAAAATTAATTACTAATTATATTATTGCTTTCATTAACTTAAGGTGATAAGGAGTCATTGCTGTTTGGTTTTCTTTTCTGGAAATTTAAGAATTTCCTTAAGGGGCTGGGGATTTAGCTCAGCAGCATAAGCGCCTACCTTGTAAGCAGGGAGCCAGGAGTTCGATCCCTGGTACCGATAAAAAGGAAAAAGAAAAAAAAAAAAAAAAGAATTTCCTTAACCCTGGTTCTCAAAGGGTGGTGATGAGATCAGCAGCAATAACAGAAACAGCTACAGGAAATCGCAAGAAATACAAACTTTCAGGCTCACTTGACTGAATCAAAAACTCTGGGACTGGGTGTAGCTCTCTGTTCTGAAAAGTTCTCCAGGTGATTCTTTGCACTGCAGTTTGAGAACCCCTGTCTTCATCTGAAAGAAGTGTTCTTAACTTTCTTATGTCACTGAAGCTGAGTAACTTCAAAATTCTATACTACAGTTATGTCATTTTAAATAATTATTTGACACAATAATTTAATGTATCTTTAGGAAGTAACATTCAAATCATTGAAACATTGGTTTGCATTTTATTCAACCTAAAAGTTATCTCTCACTGTGTAGTTTCACGTATTTAATACTGATACATATAGATGCTGTCATACTCAAAATGGAATGCGCTGTGGCATTCTTTTTTTTAAAAAGTAAATTAAATGAGAGTTTATGAAGGAAGAGTTCTCATGCATGAATGCCTGACAGTAAGTAACTCAAAAAACCTGCCCAAACCACAAACTTATGGAGAGGACAGCACAATATACAAAAAGAATCACTGTAAGATGATTTGCTGAGTAACTGTTTGACCTTGGTCTGATGCCCCTTTTATTATTAGCAATTGTCATCCAGATTACTGTTGCAAAATATCTTCTGTAGTCCTCCTTTTAGTCTTTAAAAACTTACCTTGCTCTCAATCTCTGTGAATACACTCCTAGTTTACTATGGCATGTGAATTCACAGTACCAGTCTGCTATTCTTAAATATCATTCACCTTTGGATACTGATTGTTTTGTTTACTTAGGCTGTCATATGCTTTCCTAAAACAAATTTATTTCGTGATCCAAATTCAGTGCCACTATTTCAGTAATGAAGTTCAAATATGTGTGTGGAACACGTTCAAACATACCTTTTGGAAATTTAAACTCTTCGTGTTCCCTGTGCTGCCCCCTGCTGACTAGTAAGGCAAACTTCATCTATTTAAAAGCAGTATGAAATGATCCAAAGGAAGGCCATCAATGAATCAAATCATTAATGAATAAACTCTCTCTTCAGCTGTAAGAATTGAAAAATTGGGTGAACATCTAAAAAATTAATTCCTTTTCCCATGATCTTGAAACTAACCTGCAACTCCTACTTGATGCGTAGCATATCCTGGTAATCTGCTGGGCCCTTCTCCCAGCCACAGAGTTAGAGTTGATGAGTCTGATTCTGCATGGTGAAAGCCGAAGCCAAGAGAAGCTGCAGGAGCAATAAATCGGCTTTGGAGGATGGGGATGTGCAGCCATACAGCTACTCTACCTTCTGACCGCCATTGCTGTATCGCAGCTAAAAAGCAGAAGAGAAAAAAATCTGTAAAGATTGTCTAATGGGTGTTATCTCCTGCAGAAAGCTATTGCATTAGTCAGCTCTGCGGGGAAACGACCCCAAAATGTTCAGTTCACATCACAATTGTGGGTATTATTATGTCTTACAATAATTACCACATTGCTGATATGACTTTCTACTTAATTCCTTGAGACTATCAATACTGTGGCTTTTATTTCCATACCACCTAATGGCAATATGTAACAAAAAACGTCCAGTAGTTATAGAATAGACACATAAACTGACTTAAGCAGACAATACATGGCAAATATTTAGTTGCAGAATGGACACATAACTTGATTTAAACAAAGTACAACACTATGTTATTGCCCTCCCCCGCTCCTTCCTGTACTGGAGATTAAAACCCAAGACCTCTTAGATGCTAGGTAAGCACTGTACCACTGTATACATCCCAGCCAATGCTACTTATCATCCTTAGCTTTAACCTTCACCAATAACTACTAAGGACTTATATTTGTTCTTCTTTTAAAAGTTCTGCCATAATTATTTTTGAATCATAAGTTCCATGATGCTCAAAAGCATATTTTGAAATAAATACTAGATCTAGAAAAAGCTGAAAAGAAAATACATCAAAAGCTTATTTTTAAATAAATGCTAGATCTAGAAAAAGTTGAAAAGAAAAATATATCAAAAGCTTATTTTTAAATAAATGCTAGATCTAGAAAAATTTGAAAAGTATATAATCAAGAAAACAATATTTTAATATCTTGATGAGATAAAAATTTCTCATGAATTTTGGAATTGCAATCATGTCTGTTTACATATCTCTTATAACATCTTATGCATTCTTTTAATGAATATGAAATTTGTAATACCTGTAGTTTTTCTCATGTAAATGTCCCATGTTACTTAACTAATCTACTCTTACTTGTTTCTAATTCATTATAAATAATACCATAAAACACAAGTATGTTTTTATTTCTGAATTCTTTCTTACTTTATTACTTAAGATTAAACCTGGGGGAAAGTCCAGCACATACATCACCTCTTTAACAAAATCTTTCCTAACGACTGTGCACATGCTGTTTGTGAGCTGAAACTGTGTGCATGATCTATTGGAGTGCATCAAAATTACCTAATGGCATCTCTCCCATTACTTATTTTTTAAAATCCTATTTAAAGGTCTATGCATTTGCAGTTCTCCAAGTTAGCTTGATATTATGAAGTAGGGCACAGGTCATACTTTTTATGACAGGCCTGCCTAAGTTTAGATGCCTGGTGAGTCCTGACATTGTAAAGACTAGAAACAAGGCCATTTCACCACTGATGCTAAATGTTATATGCTGTGCTAACATTATTATCTGACTATTTAACCTTTGAATTGTCCACAACAAAACAGGAACACTAAAAAACACTAGCTTTCATGTGTATACACGCGTGGCGTGTGTTGAACCACTGTCAACACACAATTCATTTACCTAAACAGAGAGACTTCCTATCAGGCCTTTTTTCAGATTATCTGTTTCTCTTTAAAGGCACTACTAGTTAGTTTTGACTCTATTACAACAGAACTAGCAGTAGCATTTAAAGGAAGCATACTCAAGTAAAATCAAATATAGAATGAGGAAGGAACCTGTTCTTTGTGCCTCGGTATCATTGTCATTAAAATTGAAATAATACCAGTAATACAATCTGCCTCCTTAGGTTAGAATTAGATGAAAACAAACTTGCATGGTTCTTAGTGTCTAGCATTTTAAAAGTGTAAACATAACTTACTAAAATACTTTAAAATGGTACTTCTGGGCTGACAAATTTCATGGTATCTTTTATTAAATATGATTTTAGGAATTAGAACCCAGGCACCACACATGCTAGGCCACTAAGCTACATCCTCAATCCTTTTGAGAAAGGTCTTGTCCACACTGACCTCAGATTTGCAATCCTGCCTCATTTTCTCCATTAGGTGGATTATAGGAATGGTCCATCTGAAAATTATCTTTGGTCGGATTTACTGAGTAATTAGCACTGGGATTTTTCACAGAAGCAACCTAAGAGGTATTTTCAGTGGCTATCTGCTTCATGGTAGAACCTGAGACAGAAACCTTGCATGTGCACCTCCAAATCCAACACGCCTTCTAGGGTAATACTTTGATCATTTGTTGGCCACTGGTTAGTAAGTTCACGTGTGTACAGTAAACACTGTTCTGTACCCACATACATATGTGTACACACACTGGACGATGAACTAGTTTGATTTTCCTACTGCTAATACTGCGGGAGTCAAAAGGAGCTTCTTGGCACTTGTTCACAAACAGGAGACAAAATGACATGAAGAGCTAAGTGGTGGTTTGGTGATAAAGGTGAACTAGCTAGCTCTGTTACACTTACAGGTGCTTGCTTACAAAAATGCTCAATAGCATAAAGATTTGAAGTTTTTCCTTGTGTGAAAGGTTCTCTTTAGATAGGTATTACAGAGCCAAATTTCCTCCCTATGCCTTCAGTCTCTCATTAGTGGTTCCTGGCGCAGTTTGAAAAAAAACAGGTTTTGAAAAACACTAAATCAACCACTTCAAAAGCGAAGGATCCCTTTTCCAACCTTCTTTTTTACTGGACTCATGGTTAAGCCAGCGCAGTTTTTCTACTGAAAACTGGACTGCTCCGGAAGAAGAAGCAAACTTTACTTCTTGCACAGAAACTCCCGGCCCCTTCTGCGCACCACTGAATGCTCACTCCCTCCCACGCACTCCTCCACATCCGCACGGAGCCGAGGCAGATCTGCCCAACAGATGGGAAGCTCCGAAAGTGACAGTGAACAAGCGCTGTCATGGGCTAAGTACGGGGCAGACACCGTGCTGTGCACTGCACGCTGGACTGGTGAGTGCAGAGGCAGTGTTGTCACAGAACTTTCCTCTGGTCACGCATTAGAAAGTGGACAGAAACCGGGGCTGCTCACTCCAAAGGCCACCACTTTACGCAGCAGCCGGAGAGCCCAAAGGCTTGGGAATCAAACGAAGAAAGCGGGCCGGCGCCACGCGTGCCCCGGTCCCTTCCCTCTGGACCGGGGACGCGGGGGTTTCCTCCAGAGGCTCGGGGACCCGCAGCCCCGGCCCCGGCGCACTTGCCCTGTAGGCGCCTCTGGAAGGTGGCGGCGTCCAGGCTCTCCAGCGCGCCGAGCCGCACCGAGACGCCCCCGTATCTGTCCGGCTCGCCCCGCAGCTCGCCCGCACCCGGTTGGGGACCTGAGGCGCCCGAAGCCCCGCATTGTCCCGCCAACAAGCTGAGGCCGCCGGGTCGCGTCAGCGCCGCGCGCCACAAACCCCCGCACCGCCGCCGCAGCATTGCCCAGCTTGCCCGCCCCGTCCCGCCCCCAGCACGCCTGCGCGCTCCACGGCGGAAAACTTTCGAAGAGCTTCTCTCCAACGCTCAGCGTTGAGCTGGGGCGTCCCACTTCGCAGAGTTTTAAAGAGTGGGTACGAAGTCTTGTCCATGCCTGGCTCCAGGAAAACAGGGGAAAACGTCTCACACCTTTTTCTGATTACTTGTTTAAATCAACAGAAGTTGTTCAGGGATGAGGCAAGCGGGCGGAGGTGCCCGAGAGCCCAGTCTTTCAGAGCCATAGTCTACGTCTACTCGGAGGATTACGGCGCGGCGACCAAGCCTTGCTGACCTCTACCCCGGAAGTTTTCTCCCTCAGACACACGCGCGCTCCGGGAGCCGGCTCAGCTTCTGCTTCGCTGTGCTGCAGCTCTGCTCCGGTGGTTCTCGCGTCATGTCTTCCAAGAAGAGCCGAAAGCGATTGAACCAAAGCTCGGAAAATGGTTCTCCCTTGTCTTCTCCAGCTTCCTCTCGTTCAGGGGCCTCAGACTTGGTGGCAGCTGGGACTCTGGTGGTGACCAACTTCCTAGAAAAGGGTAAAGAGTTCTGAGCGGGCGCTGCTTGAGGGGTGGGAGGCCGATGTCGCTGCCCGGTAGAGGGGGCCGGGCTTGGAAAGAACAGGGTGGGAGGGAGCAAGACTGAGGTGTTTGAGACACTGTTAGTGTACCTCTGCCTCCACTGGGAAAGTTTGGCAGAAATGATTTTGTCAAGTTTTTTTTTCTAAAGGAAATTGTTTAAAATTGTTAAGTTGCACTTAAAATGAATTTTGCCTCAATTACGATTATTATCCCAGCTACCTGTGCAAAATTGTTCGTACCTAACGAGAGTAGGATGTGTCGACCAGAAAACTCGTAAAAATAGGAGTCCATCCTCTCTAAGAGACATTATCTTTAAAAATGAAAAGTTTTTTCTTCCATTGTTGCACAGGTTCTGTGAATTGATAAGGGCTAGTACTAGTGTTCATACTTGTTAGTAGCTTAGCTGTGTCGCAGACACCTTTCATGTAGCTTTCACTGAAGCTGTGATCTTATACAGAGTTGTAGGTTGTTTTTATGTGTCTGTGGTCTTATCATTGGGTCATATCCCCAGCCCTTTTTATTTTTTATTTTGAAACGATATCACCAAGTTTCCCAGGCTATTATTGAATTTACCATCCTCCTCATTCAGCCTCCCAAGTAGCAGGGATTACAGGAGTGCACCACTGCGCTCTAGACTAGTTCTATTTTACAGACTAAAAAAGGTGAATTACGTGCCTCAGATTACACAGATGCTAAGAGTCAGAGACCGTATTTGAATCCTGATATTTGCTTTCCACTTCATACCATGGAAATTATTCTGTCATAGTCATTGATCATCTCCATATTGATAAATCCGATAGTTTTTCATCATTTGCTTTAATCACAGTAGTGTTTGGCACTTTTTTCTTTCGTTTTTCACCTTCATCATATCGTTATTGAACCTAAGGCTTCTACACTGAGCTCCATCCTCAAGCATTTTTATTTTGAGACAGGGTATCCTTGAATCACTAAAACACCTGCACAAGGCTTGAATATGAGTCTGTCTATCAGTTTCCAAGAATGCTGGGATGATAGGTGTGTTCCGCTTGTCAATCTCTTCTTTGAAATACTTATTTTATGTCGTTAGACTTTCCTTAGATGTTTGCCATGCTTGTCAAACTATTTCCTTTGTAGTTTTATCCTTTTCCACCTGACCATTAAATGTTGAAGTTTTTCAGTTGTTAGTGCTAATTCTGTTTTTCTGTCTAAATCTTCTCCTTGTCAAGAATGTCAAGAGTTTCCTCTCTCTTCATTTTCAGATTTACTTTTGTAGTTCATACTGTTCTCGGGCCTTGGTATAATTGGTTTTTTAAAAAATTTTTTATTTTTTTTAAAGAATAAAACAAAACAAAGCAAAAACAGAGCAAAGCAGATCAGAACAGAACAATGCAAGCAACACAGGATTTCAAAACAAGGTAACAGGGAAATCAACAGTGGCTACCATAATGTCTCTTGTTTTCTTTGAAATGGTTGTCCATATCTTCAGATGCAATGAATTCAAACTAAACAAAATATTATAAAACTAATCAAAACAAAAAAATGAAAGCATTATAAGCCTTCAAACTAAACAATGGGAAAATCAACAATGGCTACCATAAAGTCTTTTGTTCTTTTGTTCTCTTCAAAATAGCTGACTATACCTTTACACATATTGAAATCGAATAATAGAAAACAGACTAAAACTGTAATAACTCAGACCCCGGTATAAAATCCAAGGAAGCAAGAGACCTAAATTTAGGTAGCAAAGGCTTTATTAGACCAGGCCTGGTGATGAGTCTCCTGGAGCCAATTTGGAGACTGCGTGCCAGAGACTGAAGGGAGGACTTTAAAAAGAGGCTGGAGAAAAAGGAGGGGCGGGGAGAAGCAAAGAAACCTGCAGAGCCATCAAACTTGTTGACCCGAATCTGGAAACTGTATAGCTGTCCACTTAGTTCTGACAACCTCGGGAGCCTTTGGCGCCTTTTGAGTTACTCCCATCCTGCAGATAAGAATTATCTGCAGTAGCATTTGGAGAAGAAAGTAGAAAGCTAATTATCTTAGGACAGCTCCTTAACACTAACAGGTGGGAAGGGGTCGAAAGTTACAAGAAGCTGAAACTTAAGCCTTCACAAGGATTTGGAACTTAACCCTTTTGGTGCATTAGGGTTAAGCCACAACATTTTCCTGTAATTTCTCTGAAGCTAAGGCACATTTTATGACAGACCACCACTGGGTCAGGAAGAGGCCATCAGAAACCCCAAATTTTTATGGCCTAGCCTAGATAGATAGGTAAGGGGAGAAGGGAGGCAATAAGGTGCGATACAGAACAGAAAACGGGGGTTATGTTTTTCTTTCTTTCTGGGGAGGGGGATCAAGGTCAGGGAAAGGGTTATGCTAATAAGCAATCTCCCTGCACACAAGCAAGTTACTTCAAACAAGTGTAAATCAGAGGGCCATCCTAGTTTTCTTTAGCTCTTTAGCGGAGAATAGAGGCACCTAACAGTGATTAACAACCCTTGTTAGCTTGTTTTAGTACAACTTCTGTAGTTTGTAGAGGGCAACAATGGTTAATGTATCAATTAGGTAAGGTTTTACAATTCTTTACAGAGAAGAGCATTGATTAACATATCAATTAGGTCATCCAAAGACATAAGAAGGAAAACACATACAGTAAGCCCCTGTTACAGGTTTTGTTATAATACACATATAACGAAGCTATTTTCTTAGAGTACAACAAAACCAATCAAAACAAAAAATAAAACCATTATTCACTGAAATTGGGATATTCAGCAGCTACACATCTTCTTGCTCCAGCTTTGGTAATTCATAAGTTTCTAGGAATCTGTCCATTTATTCTGTATTATGGAACCTGTGAGAATAAAGGTTTTCGAAGTAGTTATTGATGATCTTCTGTATTTCTACAGGGTTTATAGTGATTTCACTCTTTTTATTCCTTATTGCATGAATTTGAGTTTTTCTTTCCTTTTAAAAATAAGGTTGGCTAGGGGCTTATCAATTTTGTTTATTTTTTCCAAAAACCAACTCTTTGATTTCTTAATTCTTTGTATTGTTTTCTGTAATTTCTGCTCTGATCTTTATAATTTCCTCCATTCTTTTGGCTTTGGTCCTGACTTACTCTTCTTTTTCTACATGTTTGAGGTATAACATCAGGTTATTTATTTGTGTTCATTCTGTTTTCCTGATGTGGGAATTCACCACAATGAATTTCCCTCTGAGGATTGCTTTCATTGCATTCCACAGGTTCCAGTAAGTTGTATTTGTATTTTCATTTTCTTGTAGATATTGTTTAATTTCTTCTTTAATTTCCTCTGTGACCCATTGATTGTTCAGGAGTGTATTATTTAATTTCCATGTATTTGTGGAGTTTTTGCAGTTTCTTTTGTTATTAATTTCTAGTTTCATGGGACTATAATCAGATAATATGCATGGGGTAATTTTGATTCTTTTTTTTTTTATTTAAGAGGAAAAAGAGAAAAACACAAAACAAAACAAAGCAGTGTAAGGTTACATATAATACAGAACTACAAAAAAAAAACATAACAGTAAGAAATCACCTGTTAATAGATTACATATTATCATCTTGGAAATAGTTGCTCAAATCACAGTATCAAAGAATACAAAGTAGACATTCAAACAGAGAGACTACAAACAGCTGTGTTCAATGATCCAAAAACATTAATATAGTCAGCTATTCAACACCCCTATACGCACTTGCTGTTATATCCGTTAGAATTTTGATTCTTTTACATTTACTTAAGCATGTTCTGTGTGGTAGTATATGGTTTCTTTTCGAGAATGTCCCATGTGAAGCTTAGAAAAATGTATATTCTGATGTTGGGTAAAACATTCTGTACACGTCTATTAAGTTCCATTTGTTCACAAGTTTGATTCAATTTTATTATTTCTTTGCTGATTTTCTGTCTAATTGATCTGTCTCTTTGTGTCATGTGGTGTTAAGGTCTCCTGTTATAATTGTGTTATTGCTTATTTGATTTTTCATTTCTATTAACATTTATTTTCCATGGCTGAGTGCTCCCATATTTGGTGTATATATATTTAGGATTATTATCTCATTCTCTTGAAGTTTTTCCCTACCTAATATGTAGTGACCTCCTTTAACTCTTTTGATCATGGTTTGAATTTCACATTGTCTGCAAACAGAATAGCTATCCCTGCTGTTTTTTTTTTTTTTTTTTTTTGGTCCCTAATGTAGTATTGTTTTTCATCCTTTGACTTTTAGTCTATGAATTTCCTTTTAGGTTAGATGGGTTTTTTGTATATAGTGTACGGTTGGATGCTGTTTCTTTTCTTTTTCTATCTTTTTTTTTGGTACTGAGGATCAAACTCATGTACTGCACTTGAGAGGCAGATGCTTGTGCTGCTGAACAACTCCCCAGCTTGGATGTTGTTTCTTGATCCATTCTGCTAGTTTGTTTCTTTTAATTGGTGAACTGAGGCCATTTACTTTAATGGTTATAACTGATACATATTGGCTCATTTTTGTCATGTTATCTTTTTGCTGTTGGTTCTTTACCTTTCCCCTTTCTTTAATTGTTTGCTTTGCTTAGTGGATTTTTTTCTGTTGTTGTTCTTGGATTCATAGTTATTTTTAGGTCTATCTAGAATATCTTTTAGTATTCTTTGCAGGGTTGGTTTGGTAATCATGAAGTTCTTCAGCTGTTCTTTTTCATGGAAGTATCTGATTTCTCCATCAATTTTGAAGGACAGTTTTGCAGAGTACATCATTCTGAGTTGGAAATCGTTTTCCTTTAGGATCTGAAATACTTCACTCCATGCTGTTATTAACTTCTTTGTGTTGAGATGTCTGCTGTGATTCTGATGGGCTTTACCTTTGTAGGTAATCTGTTTCTTTTCTCAAACAGCTTTTAATTTTCTGCTCTTTTGTTGAATTTCTGGGATGTTGATTATTGTATGTCTAGGTGTAGATTTATTTTGATTATGGCTAATTGGAGTTCTATATGTTTCACTTGCATGTATGTCAGTTTCCTTTCCCATGCTTGGGAAGTTTTCGGCTACTACTGGTGTAAATAGGCTTTTTATATCATTTGTGTTGTCACCTTCTTTTTCATTTGCACCTATCAATGTTATATTGTTTTTTTTTTTTTTTTACATCATCTGACAACTGCTGAATTGTTACTCTTGATTCCTTGTTATTTTAAAAGCTCTTTCTTGTTCACTATCTGCAATCTTGTCTTCGAGGTCTGAAAGTCTATTCACATTAATTTAATCAGTTTTGCCAGCTTTCAGTAGAATTTTTGATTTCCTGGATATCTCCTTGACTCATTTCATGAATTCTGTTGTATTCTGATATTGTTCATGCAAACTTTCCATCTTTTTGCAGTGCTCCTTAATTTTTTATACTATGTCTTCTTTAGATGTGTTCAGCATTTCTTTTGTTATGCTTGCCATTTCTTTTTTTACCTGGGAGATTATTTCTGATCTGCATTCTTTTACAGCTTCATAGAGTTGTTTCTTTACTTTAGTATCGTTCCTATCGATACTTTGGTATCGTTCCAGAAGTTTCAGGTGTATGGGTTACACTTTCTTCTATGTCCATGTCTCCTAGGCTTGTTTGAGATGGCATTTTGCTCTTTTGTTTTCTCGTTTTCCTGTATTTCCCTAGGGAAGCCGAATGCAAGGTTTCAGTTGCTTCCTGGGTTAAAGATGTCTGTTCATACTGCAGGGAGTTTCCCTGGTTGAGAGGGGGTCTTTAGGCAGGCCTTATGAAGTCCGTAGTGGCGCTTGAAGGCTCCTTAACTTGGGGGAATACACTGGGTGGATTTCAGCATACCCCATGCAGGCCACCGAAGCTCCATGGGTGCTTGAAGTTGCTGGGCAGGACTCTGCTGAGTTCTGAGTGGTGTACCAAGGCTGAACTGCTAGATGGAATATGCTGTGCAGGCCTTCAGCTGATGCCACACAGCACACCAAAACTCCCCAGTTGTTTGGGAACACTGAGTGGGGCCCTACTAGGATCCAAGCAAGATGCTGAGGTTAAACAGCTAAGTGGAGTTCACTGTGTGCAGGCCTTTGGCTCATGCCCCTCAACATGGGCAGTTGTCCTGTCACTCAGGGTCGCTGGGCATGGCCTAGCTTAAGACCTGAGCAACCTACCGAAGGTCCTGGCTGTTTGGGGGCCCTAGGCAGGGCCCTACCAGTGAGGTGCCAAGCTTGAACAGCTAAGTGGAGTTCATTGTGCAGGCCTTAGGCTTGCACCACTCAGTGTAGATGTTTTCCCTGCCACGATTGTCTTTTGGACCAGTGATGCTCCAACTCTCAGTGGTGAAGGTTTTAGAATTTACAGCCATAGATCAGCATTTCTGTAAAACAAAATAAAAATGATGTATCAGAAAGATAAGTTATCAGAAGCAAATTAAAAATTACTAGATTCCTCAGATGAAGAATTATTTTGTGAAATAACAGTAAAATCTTGTAAATGCTTATTTTCATTTTTTTATACTTTTGTCTTATTTGAACCAATAACAAACATTTTGTAGATCATGTTCTGAATGGTATTGTTCTACTGAATTGTAGACTGTGTTCTGAATGGCATTCTTCAGTAGTTTCCTGGATTTCTTAAAAGTGCTTCAAGACTGACTCCATAAGTCTAAATTTCCTCCAGTAAATTGAACTCTAGTTCTATTCAATTTGCCATTACAGAATTCAGAATTTAGAAGTCATCCATTTCACTCATTTAGAATATATCGTATATCCATTCTAGTACTAAGTCCTATTTATCACCTAAATTTTCTCCATATTCCTTTTATACTATTCCTGTTGTTTCCACCAAAGTCTCAGACACCACTGTCTCTCAACTGGCCTGTTACATTAGCCTTTTAAATTCATATTTCTGTTTCCAATTTGCTCCCTTTCTTATGTCTTTTCCCCCTTGCAGCCAGAATGATATTTTAAAATAATGCTGTAATGACACTGCTTTATATCCCTCAAATGGCCTACCATTACTGTCAGTGTAGTGGCCAGCCTTTTGATGTAGTTCACTGTCTTGATGGTTTTGACCTTCCTTCCATAGTCACTCTTATTTCACATTGCTGCCTGTTACCTGCAGGGTGCATGATATTGATGGCTGCCCAGATATCTGTACGTATTCTCTTTGTTGAGAATTATATTTTTCTTGTCTTCACTTACTATTTTTCTTCTCTTAATTTATTATTTCTTACTCTTCTTTTAGTTTTGAAGTTTAACATTACTTCCTTTGAGAAACATTCTCTGATTCTTCCAAATTTGTTCGCACATAGGTTCTGCTAGTATTTTCAGTCATTCTTTCATTTATCTGAGTTTGTAATTCTGCACTTATTCAGTGATAGTTGGGTAATTCCCTAATCTTGTTGGATTATAAAGTCTGTGAGGTCAAGGCTGTGTGCACAAAATTGTCTATTAGGGTACCTGCTATATAGTAGCTACATAGTACATATTTGCTGAATGAATAAATGAAGAGCGAGTGGTTCTTTGAAATTATTATATTTAAAGTCAGTCTTGACAGAGTACTCAGTAAATATGAGGGTAGTTAATGGAGTAGACTGTATACTGAAATAAAATTTTGAAGTACAGGAGGAATGGGAACTAGAGAAGGGAACTTTGTGGATAGCTTGCATAGTTTTGGATGGTTAAGGAGTAAATAAAATGGTAATGTATTGGGAAAGGAGGCCAGTGAATGGGTGTTTGAAAATGATCTCCATTGATATGGAGGTGTGAAGCTAGTTAGGGAAGGCAAATCCTGGAGCAAATAGGTCACAAGTGGAAATACAACTTAATCCTCTAGAGCAGTGATGAACCTTTTGGAGTTTGCAGTGATACAGCCTTCTGTGGTATGTGTGTCATGGGTTCATCACCATTGCTCTAGAGCTAGTTAGGTTTGCTAATTCCCAATTGAAACCTTTGAATAAAAGCACTGTCTCAAAATTTGTACTACAGAAAGCTCAGAGATGCTGTATTGCAAGAATAATTAGTTCTTGATGAAATGAGAGCGTCTTAGTTAACACTCATTTTTTCAGTAGACACTCAAAAGGGCTTGGATTTAGATTTGTTGCAATCAGGTTTGGAGCAGTGGTTTCTCTAGGGTATGCTGAATCCATTCATATGATTATATGGAAGGATGGTTTTCATCTTGTGCAAAAAGAAACATGAATTCATTTTATTTACAAAAGTAGTACAAAAATAACTTACTTTTTCTTCATAGTAGATGGCAAAGTTCCTAAAACATTCCAGAACTCCCTTGTTCACTTTGGACTCAACACTATGAAGTCTGCAAATATATGTATAGGTCGACCAGTGTTGCTTACCAGCTTGAATGGAAAGCAAGAGGTAAGAGTCCTTTTTGTTTCCTTAGGTTAGAAATATCTGAGACAATTTGGTCCATATAAGGAGGATTAAATGATATGTATATTTTAGAATACTCACATGTACAGAAACTTCCTTTTTTTGCCTACAGCTACGCTGAGAATAGTAACCTCTATAATCTCCAATAGAGAGAGATCTTTTCTCCAGGGAGGAAATGACACATCCCTTTTGGCCTGTCTTCTACTCCATTGTATTTCTGTGGAGACTTATTTCATTAAAAAGGGAACAATTTCTTTATGCAAGTGATTTCATGACTCTGTTTTTACCTGAGTCTCCATGCCCAGAAACTGTCTTGGATTTTCCATAGCTTGACTGTCTCCTTTGCTACCATGTTCTGTCCCATGGTTTCTTCTTTTGCTTCTTTCACACACAGTTGAACTCGAGGAAGTGTTTTTGAAATTGCCTGTTTGCTGATGATAACACCTTTCCCACCTTTTCCATTCTTTATATTTGTATTATGCTTTATTTTGTAGAAAACAGGATTGTGAATATGTGAGTTCAAGCCAGAAATCTTTGGTCTTTTTCCCTAAACATTTAAATTTGATATGAGATTCAGGTTTTGACAAAGCTGTTGTGTTTTGTCTCTTGCTACTTCCTGGATATAGTTTAAGTTCCAGGCTGGATTAATTTACTAGTTATCTTGCTTTCAAAATATGGGCGTGCACACACTCACACGTATATTTAATTTTCTTGTAATCTATAACATTTTTGTCTTTTTTTTTCAAATGTACGTTATTAATCTTTTGCCATCTTCACTGTGAGTACATTTCCTGATAGTCACCAAACTATGTAATTTATTTTTTGTAGCCTATGTAGCCTTTTGTTTTTTTCAAAATGCAATTTATTTTACTGTAGTTTATGTCAGATTGTAACTGCTTTGGGGAAGGAATTGCTTTGTGTATTCATATGTTTAGCTGTGATTAGTGTTCTTTATAAATTGATGATTTTCTGTAAGCGTCAGGAGAGAGGTACCAGTTCCCCAAGATGCATGTAATTATTACATATTGCAAAAATATACTATAAAAATCATATTTTCTAACATTTTTATTTACTCTGTCTGGGCAGGTTTATACAGCTTGGCCAGTGGCAGGGTTTCCTGGAGGCAAGGTTGGACTGAGTGAGATGGCACAGAAGAATGTTGGTGTAAGGGCTGGTGATGCCATCCAGGTGCAGCCTCTTGTAGGTGCTGTGCTACAGGCTCAGGAAATGGACTTGGCACTGAGGTTTGGCTCTTTTCTTTGGTGACTACCTGATCAGTGCTACCCAGTAAAAATATAAAGAGAGTCACAAACATAAGCCGCATATGTAATTCCCATTTTGTAATAGCTACTTTAAATAGTAAACAGGTTAAGTGAATTATAATGGTATAATTTATGTATCCAGTATATGTAATATCTTACCTAAACTACTTTTTTTTTTGGTCTTCTGGAGACAGGGTCTCGCTGTGCAGTTCAGGCTGGCCTTGAGCTCACTTTGTAGCCCAGACTAGTCTTGAACTTGCAGCGATCTTCCTGCCTTAGCCTCCAGAGTGCTGGGATTACAGGCCTGAGCCACCATGCCCGTCTACCTAAACTTAAAATAATTATAAAAACACTTCCTAATAAGATATTTCACATTCCATTGAAACTAAGTGTTCAAAATACAGTATATGTGTTACACTTACAGCATATTCCAGATTAGTCATATTTTAGTGCTTGATAATGACATGTGGTGAGCGCTACTGGCCTACTGTATGAGACAGTATAAACTAGCACATGGTATGTAATTTATGAACTAAGGACTCTCAGGTCCTGTAGTTAGAGCATGCCTTGGTATATTAGGTGAGAATTATTATTATTGATTAATATTGGTGACCTTTATTTTCATTTTAACTTGCAGTGTAATCAAGGCTTGTTATTTTTCTTATAAAGGAGTAACTCACTATGAGTAGATAAGCAATTAAGACTGTTAAAAGAAACTAGTTGTATTTTTTAATTCATGAATTCAACTTAATAAAAAGATTTATTATTATCAGAATTTTAAATAGTCCTTCACCAAAGTCCTTTTTAAATAGTACTTGTTTGAACCTACCTATCAATAAGGTGTATCATCTGTGCTTTTAGATATTCTTTAATAAGATTTTGGCTTAGTTTGCAAATTAAGTCTGATCAAAATTCACTTTATAAAACTACCTTTTGAATATTTTAATATCAACTTAATAATTCAGGAATGTGTTCATATTATATGCAAGAATCATGAAACATTTTCTAATCATCAGCTTGAGGTTTAAAATGTTTTCTTCTCTTTCTACTTTTTTAGATTCTAAGTTTGAATTTTGACATTTACTTTTGTTTAAAAATAAGAAAATGTTTATCTTACTCTTCTCATCACTGAGACAAGTGCTCATTACTCAGAAGTTAAAGGATGAGAGGTTTATTTTGGTTTACAGTTTGTAGAGATTTTGGGCTGTTTTCTGCTAGCGATATGGCAGGACAGTATGGCAGAGGGGCATAGTGGAAGGCTTGAGTGGAAGAAAACCACTCATCTCCTGGAGGTGAGAGAAGGAAGCAGAGAGGTCAAAAGAGGGGCTTGGAAGACAGATCCCCTTTCTGCTTCCAGTCACAGTTGTTATCTTCTTCCCACCATACCTCACCTTCTAATGCCACATCAGCTATTCTGCCCCCATAATCTAATAGTTTTACAAAATCATCACCTTCAGGCTCATGAGGCTCGGGGTGGGAGGATATCTAGATATAAAACATAACAATGTTCAATAAAATTTAAAAAGCTGAGAAGAAAAGGGCAGGCAACCTTATATATTGTGTATATTGCATACATGGGTATACATGTGCGTTTGTGAGTACAAACAAATTTACCCTTTGTCTTCTCCCATTTAATTCTTCAGCACCCTGCAAAGTGTCCATATTTATCCCATTTTTCATAGATGAAGAAATGGGCTCAAGTAAATTCAATGAGGGAAAATAAGTGGTCTTAATATTTCAGTTTTAGGTAAATAATGATTACCTGTTACAGAGAACTGTACATTTTAAATGGGATCTTTTAAAAACATATTTTAAAAAAATCATACATTTTAAATGTGGAAGCAGAGTTGGCACGAAGTTAATTTTGTATTAGGAAATTCAGTAATTTCAATCTTTTGCAACAACTGAGAAATTTTATTAATAGTGTTGGAGGAGTTCCTTCCAAAGGATAACTTTTTTTTTTTTTTTTTTTTTGTCTTTTTCGTTTTTATTGGTACCAGGGATCGAACTCAGGACTGCCTGCTTGCAAGGCAGGCGCTTATGCCGCTAAGCTAAACCCCCAGCCCCAGGATAACTTTTTATGTATTCATTTTTCTACTAAATGCAAAACTAGTTGACTTCTTTTACTGTTATATATATATATATATATATATATATATATATATATATTCCAGTGTGCTCTGTTATAGCCTTTTAGGTTATATCCTTTAATTTCTGCCTTTTTAGTTTAGTTTCTTATAACAGAACTGGGATGAAGTCCTCAAAGTATTTGCCATGATAATTGCTTTATCTTTGTAGTTGTGTAAATAAATTGTTTTCTATTTAAAAAAGTTATATTGAACACTTAGGAAATACTAAACCATTATTCCCAGAGGAAAGTATGTACATATATATGTGTATTTTATACAGACTGTAATCTTAAATCTTTTAAACACCCATTCTTGTTGGGTGTGGTAGTACATGAACATGCAGTGTCAGCTATCAGGAAAAGAGGCAGGATGATTGCAGATTCTAGGCCAACCTGGGAAACTTGATAAGAGCCTATGTCAAAATAAGACATTTAAAAAAAGATCTGAGAAGGGGCTGGGCATTTAGTTCAGCGGCATAAGTGCCTGCCTTGCAAGTGCGTGGTTGTGAGTTTGATCCCTGGTACCGATAAAAAGAAAAAAAAAATTATACAAAAAAAAAAAAAAAGATCTGAGAATGTAGCTCAGTCATGGAGTGTTTGCTTAGCATGTGAGACTGTATTCAACCTCTAATACCATTTAAAAAGTCAACAAACCAACAAAAACCACTCATTCTGGTATCCAGTAAAAATTTATTTCATGTTACTGAAGAGAAGAGGAGATGAGAAATAAAAAAGACCTTGGCTGAGTCTGCCCCACTATAGGTGCCACAGATGGGATTCAGATCCCTCCAGCTAGCTTGAGAGCTTCTTGGTGTATACCACACCATCTCATCCTATCTCTGTGCCAGTCATCCTTGAATGAGAACTGAAAAAGAGGCCAGTGTCACCTTACTCTGCCTTAGCTGACAGCAGTTGGTGTTGCATGACCCAAATTTTATTCTACTCTGACATACCCAATAATCACATCCAGTAGGCACTGCGAGTATTAACTTTTAGAGTACTAAAAAATTTAATGAGTAGATAAATTTGCTGATTAGCATCCATAGATCATGAGGATAAATGGATTTGTTTTAATATTGATAATGTGGGGGCTGGGGATTTAGCTCAGTGGCATAAGCGCCTGCCTTGCAAACAGGCAGTCGTGAGTTCGATCCCCGGTATTGATAAAAACTTAAAAACAAAACAACAAAAAAAATATTGATAATGTGATTAGAGAACAGGTATAGATTTTGTCCAGATATGCTTGCTAAGAAGTCTCCCTCTGTCCTTATGTCTGCTGGTTGCAGAACTAGACAACTTTTGGCCTCTTGCGCTGTGTACACAGGCAGAAGGAAAAATGCTCGCGTTTTGAAAATTCGTAAAGAACAGACATCTTAATAAATGCACTAATCTTTAGATATACCTGCTTTCTGCACTTGAGTAAGCCACTGTCCTGTAAGACAGTTTTGAATAGGAAGAAAGGGGTCTCAGTGTTTCCTCAGCCTTGCCCCTTTTCCAGAATACATTTTCATTGCAATCATTACTTCTACTTTCCCAAGTAATAATATATAGGATTTAATTTTCTTGAAAAGATAGATTATGTGAAAGGAATGAAGTCAAGTGTGAATAAAAGCCTGTCTCTAAGACAAGTTCAAGAAGGAATGAAAAGGCCAGTGTTTTTTCAGATGTGTTTGACTAATATACCTACGTACACTCTCTTATGATTTGTGTATTTCCACAGATTCAGTGTACATATACAGATTTTGTGTTCCTATGTACATTTACATAAAATGTGATTTTATATATATGTACACATGCATGGATCTGTATATTGTGTGTGATAAGTTAATGTTTTATAAAGCAGTGCTTACCTTTTCTCTGTGTATTGTACTCTGACATTTCTTATTCTAATAAAAACATAATGAGACTGAAATGATTTCATTATCCAAGAAAGATAATGATTTCATTACCATATGATTTAGGCACTAAATTGCAAATAATACATTTGTTGCTTTAAGAAGTGTCTGAAAAGTGTAAGTCATTCCAAAATTGTGTAAATCAACTATTTTCAGGTTGCAAGCTATTATTATCACTATATATAGTGGTACCTTGATTTTCGAACTTAGTTCTTTTCATGATTCTATTCACAAACCGAATTGGACAAGAACTGAATCAAATTAGATTCCATGTTGATCTGATGGAGAAATTAGATTTGAGTCTTGTCCAATTCTATATCACAGCTCATTTTCTTATGCACTTAATTCTGATTCTTTTATGTTTTTGTGTAGTGACAAAGATCGGGAAATCAATGAAGAAGAACTAACTTCTTGTATTCTGAGAAAACTAGGTGAGAGTCGTATTGTAAGTTCTTAAACTTTAAGCAGAAAGGCAGCATGAAATAAAATGTCATTGAGGTCTTATGACCATAATTGTCTTCAAAATACTTGAAAGATTATTTATCTTAATTAATAAATATTCTGTTGAGACGGTTGCCAGTAGAATCACTAACAGTTGAGTAGTGGAATGTATATGGTTGTCTGTGGGCAAAGTCAGTCATAGAACTTCTTTAATTGTTGCACTTTTGCTTCTTCCATTGAGAAACATTATGTTGGTATGTTGGTTTAGGTATGCCATTTTAGTTTAGTTTCTTGACAAATATAGACTTCTGGCTATTTGTTAATATAGTTGATAGACTGAGATCTATTGCATGTACTAGATTTGAAGGAGTATCTTTTGTATCTCCATCTAATGATATATCATAGGGGAATAATAGGTCCTGTATTTTTCATGACATTTTATCAGTATTGCAGATTTGATTTAATCTCTTCATTCAGGAAAGATTGAATAGCAAGGAAGTTACTATTAAAAATATTAAACTGATAAAAATTGTGATGACATGTATATTTAATAAATTGTTTTCTAGATGGCAAGATTGTTTTACCAGGCAACTTTCTGTATTGTACCTTCTATGGACGACTGTGCAAGTTACAAGTGTTGCAAGTGAAAGGAGCAGATGGCATGATTTTGGGAAAGCCTCACAGTGACTCTACTGCTGCTCAGGGAATTGCCTCTGAACAGTCCAGCATGGAAACCAGTAGCTTGGATATATCCTTCCAACTAAGCCATTTAGAGCTGGCGGAGCCCCAGAGCCAAGCTTTAAGAAGTACTCCTTGTAAATCTGCTGATGACAGAATTGCACATAGAGCCAGTGACATTTCGTTGGATGTTACACCAGGCCCTGGGGCTGGCAATGGACTTGAGCTAGAGGAAGTCACATCTCTTCCATGTAGTCTTGAGTCTGCCAGAGAAGTAGATAAGCAACTAATTGATGAAAGGAAATTACTAAAATCTGTCAAAATGGAAGCAAAGTGCAATACTGACACTTTCTATTTTATTTCTTCAACAACAAGGGTCAATCTTAGAAAGATTCATATGAATTCAAAAGGACAAAACCAGTTCAAAGTAACTTATGATATGATAGGAGGCTTAAACAGTCAGCTGAAAGCAATTAGAGAAATGATTGAATTGCCTCTCAAACAACCTGAACTTTTCAAGAGTTATGGTAGGATATCTTTAGTTTATTATATCTAGAAGTGTTCAATTCAAACTAAAAAGCATTTGTAAAACCCAGTCTAGTAGTGCATGATTGTAATCCCAGTGCTCAGGCGACTGAGGCAGAATTGTTACAAGTTTGAGGCCAGCCTGAGTCACAAAGCAAAACCCTATCTCCAAAAAACCCAAACAGACAAAAAAGCATTTGGTGATTCCTACTTACCTAATGACTACACACTTATCTTTTTTTTTGTTTTTTCCTGGCCACTTGTGTAGTAGAAGGTGTTAGTTGCTTTGGTAGATGCTAGTGAAATGAATTATTCTTTGTGCTTTAGTCTCTAGCTTGTGTACTAGTGACAGCTCTTTTTTTTTTTCTTCTTCTTCTTTTGCTGTCTTTTGGAAACAGTGTTTTACCATACAGTTCAGGCTGGCCCTGAACTCCCCTTATAGCTCAGCCTGGCCTCAAACTCTCAGCAACTTTTCTGTCTTAGCCTCCTAACTGCTGGGATTACAGGCATGTGTCACCACACCCAACCCTGTCTCTTTAAATAGCATGTATTAAACAGTTGCTTCTATTGTGTCTGTAATAAGTATCTTGTCATGTTAGATCGATTATAATGACTAAAATATATACATAGGTTGCTTATAACTTGTTGGGAAATACAGGATATACATTGAGGCAAGTATTTAAAGGGGTGAGTTGACTCCTAGGGAACTCATGGCTTTCTCTGTGTGATTGCTGTCTACATCCTTTGCAATTACATACATACATATATATATATATATATGTATACACACACACACATGCATGCACACATACATGTAGACAACACAAATCTTTTGGTTTTATATTTTGCTAGTTACATTTATATTCTGTAAGATGACTAATTTTAAGAAAATTGTGATTGGTGGTTTGTTTTGCCTCTTCTGGATTTTCAAGTTACTGAACTTGCAGTGCAGGCTGGATGTGGCAGCACCGTGAGTATGTTAAGGTTTTTTTTTTTTGTACTGAGGATTAAATTCAGAGGCACTCTGCCGCTGAGCTGTATCTGTAGCCCCTCTTACTCTTTGAGTCAGGGTCTTGGTAAGTTTGCCAGGTTGGTCTCAAATTTGTGATCCTTTCTGCCTCAGCCTCTAGAATAGATGGGTGTACATGTGCACCATCATGCCTACCTGAGTGTACAGCTTATTTCTGATTGTGGTCTGCAGAGCAAAAAAAAATGTTACTGTTGTGGATCAGTGTTTGGAGTAATATATTTTAATGGAGGCAGGTCAAACTTTTGATTTTGTAGTGTAAGATAAATGTATATTTATAACTTATATTTGAATTTGTAAGAAACCTAGTATGGAGCAGGAAAATGTTATTGTTGGGGATCTGTATTGGGGTAGTAGTTTTTCTGGGAAGATCTGACTTTCGATTTTGTGGTTTAAGGTAACATATATACATCTATAACTCATGTTTGAAGTTGTATGCCAAAATTGATAAGAAACCTAGTAATACTGAATTCATTGTTCTTTGTTTTTTCTTGTAGGGATTCCAGCTCCTAGAGGAGTGTTACTCTATGGCCCTCCAGGTACTGGAAAGACAATGATTGCCAAGGCTATTGCTAATGAAGTTGGAGCCTATGTTTCTGTAATTAACGGTCCTGAAATTATAAGCAAGTAGGTACATGACTTAATAAAGTAAACTTAACATGTATTAAGCATACTTCTCATGTATGACTTTTCAAAATGACTGTATAGTATGGAATTTCTGATATTTCATACCTTGCAATATATTTAATTTTCTTTTTAATATGTATAAAATTATTTGGGAAATAAGTTTTGAAAGTAATTTTAAGTATTCTAGAAATATTTGAAATATCAGATTACCTTTTATAGACAGTTTTAGAAACAGTTAGAAAAGATACTTAATCTTTTTTATTTGTTATAGATTCTATGGTGAGACTGAAGCAAGACTACGTCAGATATTTGCTGAAGCCACTCTACGGTATTCTTTATTTTTGATGTTTTGGAATTAATAGTCAATGCTGTGGTATTTAAAGTGATATACTAGCATTTCACCTAGAGTAAAGAATAGCATACATGATAGCTCTATGAATAGTTTGTAGGTTTAATGATATTCTGTTTAATCTGTTTCTAGTTTTGCTTTCGATTTTTGATGAGTTATTAAATTACATAAAGTAGAATTAAAAATTTTGTTTGATAAATCATATTACCTTACAGAAACATTTATATATTTTATTAGTTTCTTTAGAGCACCTATGTATGTCTAATGCACTTAATCTCTTTAGTAGACTTTATTTTTGAAATTTTGTTACAATGAGATTGCTTCCAAGTGGCAGTCTTTTGTTCTTTAATAATTATTATTCCTCAGTTTAGGTTGCTATGTTGCATTGCAGTGAGTATTAGAATATGGTCTATAGCTTGATTTAATATAATAGTGTTTAAAATATGTCTGTGTCTCTACCATTTTTTTCATAGGATGTCATATTACTGTCCCTTTATCAAAGAACTGCCATTTAAGTGCCTTTTCTGCCCAGTGATAGTAGATTAAGCATTTTATGGTGAAGATACTGAAATACGAGAACTAGTGGTATACCTTACTATTTGGTATGGTTTTGTTGTTGTGTTGGTGGCAGTTGAAACTTCTTGTGAGACAGTTCACATCTTTTTATAGCAGAATTGGTCATTTAGAAAGTACTTTTTAAAAATAGGTTAAAGAAAAAGATGACATTTCTACTTTATATCCTTTGGGCTTAAAGGCTATTATAAGGTAACATCATCTCTGGCCTCAGTTTCTCATTCAGTCGAGCCATAATAATTTAGTGGACATTGGCAGGAGAGTGGTACCAGCGCATGGACTCATCTCATGAGTGTAAACCTTTCTCATTGCTCTGTCTTTTAATGAGGGCAGATAGACTTGAATATGAGGTTGTGAGTTAAATAATTGAGGCAAGAATGCATTTGAGGTTTTTTGGCTTAACATTCTAATGCCTTTGTCTATAATATTAAATAAATTCTAAATTTGATGTTTTTCAATTAAAATTTAAAATTAAATGTAAATTAGAGGTTTCATTTTACTTGTTTCCAGGCATCCATCAATTATTTTTATTGATGAGCTGGATGCACTTTGCCCTAAAAGAGAAGGAGCTCAGAATGAAGTAGAAAAAAGAATTGTAGCTTCACTCTTAACACTGATGGATGGCATTGGCTCAGTAAGTATAGCATAGATACTGCTTCTGTGAGGGAAGAGGTTGGTTCTTAGAAATACACATGTGACAACAAAGAGTACTGAATGTGTCTGGATCTTTAGGTATTCTAGGATAAGGGGAAAATACAACTTTGGAACTAGGTAACACTCATAATTAATTTGTTTCAAAAGATTATTTACTAATTGCTGGGACAACATAACTTTTTTCTTTGCATATAAAATAATTTACCATGATCAATTTCTTTTGTAATAAGTGATAGTAACTTAAAAACTTGAGCCAAAAATCAATAAAGAAGACTTTATTAAATTTTAGAGGTTTTATTAAGAAATTTCATAAGTATAATTACTTACATAAAAAGTGATACAGGGCTTTGTGCTAGGCAAGTGAAAGAAAAGAATAAGGGAAAAATGTGTTCGTACAAATTAAAAGGCTTTTACTCTTATTACCATATTTTTTGATAGGGCATATAGTCTTTTTTTATAGAAAATTTTTATTTGTTTAAGGATTTTTTGAGACAGGGCTCTCCCCTAATAGTACAGTCTAGCCTCAGACTGATTATGTAGCCCAGGCTAGCCTCAAACTTGTGGTGATGCTCTAGTCTCAAGTCTTCTGAGTTACTGGGATTACAGATGTGCACTACCATGCACCAGCTATATAACTGTGAAAGGAAGAATTAATATAAAACAAGAATGAAGAAGTCCTTCAGACTCCTGGCATCTGTTAACAAACAAATAAACAAAAAAATATGTGCTTCAAAGGCCAGATTGTGAATAACTACATTTTTTAGAATTTTAGTATGTTAGAAATTAGTTTCATGCTTTTGCACATAAAAAATTGGATAATTAAAAGTTTTAAGTTTTTACTGCCTGTTGGTAGAAACTGAACTTGTGAAAAGGTAAATGTTTGGTATTTAGTCCCTCAGGTGTAACTATTAAGCAGACCATATTAATGTTGATGGATGATCATAATTTTTTCCTGAAGGCAAATACAAAAAGCTGTATTACAATAGAAAGAAAGAAAAAAATCATTTGGAAACTTCAGTGTTGTAAAATGTTAGTCACCAGGTCAGTTTGTTGTTTTTTTCTTTGCCATTGGGATAAGCCCACTAAGGAGTGGCTTTCTTTGCTTTTGGGTAGAACTGGAAGCACATAACACTGATGTTTTAATCTGAAAATAGTTAAGGGTCTATATTTGTGCTTTTAAATGCATAATTTATAAAATTATGCAAATCAACTGTTGGCATACTAAATATAATTATGTTTGAGTTTTCTTCTGTAAATCACAGTTATATTTGTCTCTGTGAGATTACTTTGGGTCATTTGAGTAAAGTACTGGGTAATATCTACAGGTGGGTGACCAAAATCACAGTTCTTTATAGTTTATACTTAACTTCACATTCAAAAAAATAAATGTTTATGTATTCAAGTGTGGCTGCTATTTGGATATTGGTTATATTATTGTCTATGTTTTCAGAAAATCAAAAGTTGTCACATTTTTGAAAGAGAACAGTATACAGATGAAGAAAATTTTCTAGACATACTCATAAAGGAGTGTTGTTCTGTTTGAATAATATATAAGTCGCCATCTTTACTTCTAAACAGGGTAAAAGACTACTTTAAACTGTTAAATAAAGAGTGAGGGACCTAGCATATATGAGACTTGGGGTTCATTCTCCACTACTGAAAAGAAAGAAAATGAAAGAAAAAAGACAACAAAAAATAAAACAGCTATAGAATTTTATGTTATTTGTGGTAATGGTAAAGATTCTAGAGAAAAGTCAATAAATTGAGAAATACTAGACAACTTTCTAGGAGGGGAAACATTTGGGCTAAGCTTTGAAAATTATGTAATAAAAATACTGCATGTATAATACATAAAATTAAACATTACTACATATATAAGGATTAGGACTTAGTAGCCTGCCTCTCTTTCCTTTCTTTTATGTACTATGATTTGAACACAAGGCTCTTGCACTGAGCTGTGTCCAGTCCATTTTTTATTTTGAGACATTAGTCTTGCTTACTCGCTAAATGTTGCAACTTCAATGATATAACCAATTTGCAACCCACCTGCCTCAGCCTCACAGAGTCCTAGGGTTATAGATGTGTAACTCCACATTTTGTTCCTATTATTTTTAACTTTTAGGAAAGTATGTATTTTATTTTTGTCTTACTTTGTTAGGAAGCAAGTGAAGGACAGGTGTTGGTCCTTGGGGCCACAAATCGTCCTCATGCATTAGATGCTGCACTCCGAAGACCTGGACGATTTGATAAGGAGATTGAGATTGGAGTTCCCAATGCTCAAGACAGGCTCGATATTCTCCAGAAACTTCTTCGAACAGTTCCCCATTTGCTCACTAAAACTGAACTACTACAGGTGGCAAATAGTGCTCATGGATATGTTGGAGCAGACTTGAAAGCTTTGTGTAATGAAGCAGGTGAGTGAATGGCTATGATGAATCTATATTGATGGACTTAAGACTGGTTTATTTAGATGCTGATAATTTCTATTTCACTCATTTCCTAATGGAAGTAGTTTTTTCTGATAGTAGAATATGTGTTGAAAGATAATTAGATGATTCAGAAAATTATTTAAAAAATCACTTATTTTTGCCTCCTAAAGAAAATCATTATTAATAACATTTTTCTAGATTTTTTTCCTGAGAATATATGCAGGCTCACGTGTGCACAGACATGTAACCAGTTGCATATGTGGTAGTATTAATGATAACTATTTAATGATGTGCTCTGCAAATGAGGGATTGTCTTCCTTAAGGAACCAACAAGTATTTATTAAATTTCTGAAGAAATACTTAGTGAAAGTCAAAAATTCAGTGCTGCCGAGTATGTGATAGTGATGTTTTACTCTGAAAATGTTTAAGGGATTTTATTAACTGATTTTTTACTTAAGAACTTTACCATAGTATAACTATACGTATTTTGGAAACCCTTAAGACCTTTGCACAATTTTTTAGAGTAGTTTCAATTGTGGAGAATATATTAAAACTTGAGCAGTATTTGTAAATTCATGAAATATTTGATACAGCAAGTGAGAATTTACTGGAAAAATCTGATCCTTTTTTATCTTGTCCTGAAAAGGTATGTTTATTTTATAGTAATCTTTAAAGGCTAAGTACATATCACATACATCTTTTTTTTTTTTTTTTTGCCAGTAGTATTATGTTCCTGATGTTCATTCTTTTCTCTGTGTATGGGCATATATTTCTAAGAGCTGTTGGAATTTGGAACATTTTTCCCCCATTTGTGTTCTAGTTTGTGATCTACCTTACAGTTTTATAAGGTGCTTTAAAGAAAGGTTAACCTTTGTAATAATGAAGAAATTGAAATACTGAACTGTCAACCTGGTTTAGAGCTTCAGTTTGGAAATACATTTTTATCTCTAAACTATTGATTCATGGTTACCTAATTTAAGAGGCTTTCCGTTTTTCCTTTTTCCATTAGTGTTTTAGTTCTTTCATCCTTTTAATCTTATCTGATATGTTTATGGAAACAGGTTAGAAGAGGAAAAACAGGAAAAGAAAACATGAACCAGAGATTTAAGAGTTTTTAAATGTATTACTCTTGGTGAAAAAAAATCAGTTGTACTGTTTCATTCTTTTTGATTATTACAATTTGCAGGGTAGAACACTAATAGCTGGGAGGGCCTCTAGGTCATGTGGACTACGTAGGCAAAAAACCTTTTACGTGTGTTATAGTCTAAGATTAAGTTCTTTTCTCTCTAGTTTCTGCACAGCTTCTGGCTTCATGGGAAGTGGTGGGCTCAGGTACAGAAATGAGTTTCCTAGGTCCACGAAGCAGATCTAGCAGTGGGCAACTTCGTTTCCTTTGTTCTATTAGAGGATAGAGTCTGGTGTACTGTGGAAGTATTGCTTTGGGCTTACACATGGCACCTAGGCAAAGAATCAGTGAAACGTTCTTTATCAGAATTTTTTTTTTTTTTTTTTTTTTTTTGCCTTTTGATGCACTATGGAAGGCTCTGAGATTTTTGCTCTCCAGAAATAATATATTGAAAGGTAGAGATTTGTAAATAGCTACTGTACTAATTAATACAGTAACAGAATAGTTGAAAAATATGAAAAATGTAATGACTTTGCCTACTTTAGAAAAAAAATAGAAATTATATCAAGCAGTACCCTAAGTACTGTTTTGGATTCATTAGTTACTTTCATACGTATGGCCTTTTCCCCTTCCTATTCTCCCCTTTTTTGCCTATTTATCTGATTGGCATAAGTGGCCACTCTGGACTTTCTTCCATAGATTTCTTAGAAAGGCTGTTAAAAGGCAGACTAATACTGATTGTGAAGTACACTACATTTTTTTCATTGAAACATTTTTATAGTTTTTGACTAGACTCGAATTCGAGGACATTACGAATTTGACTAAAACTATAACCTGGAAAACTAAACAACTTTGAAACTAGAAACATTAAAATACAATTATACTCCCAAGTACTGTAGAATAAGCATAAGTATATTTGGCTTGTTGAACATACAGTGGCATCCTTATTCCCTATGATGTGTGTGCATTGAGCATAGGAAGAAGAGAAATCATACATGTGGTGCACTGAACTATTCTCTTAGTTTTCATGAAAAAGGTTAAACTTTTAATGCTGTGTTCTACCTGCATTTAGAGGAGTTATCCAGGGGTACTTAAAGTGCCTCTTAGACTGTGTGTGTGTGTGTGTGTGTGTGTGTTACTGGGGACTGAACCCAGGGCCTTTGCACTGAGCCACACCCACTGTGAAGTCTGGTGTTCTAGAGTGATATTTTTGTATGTGAGATCCCAGGGAAAAGAATGTACAAATGGCAGACGTAGTTAAAAGGCAAGTAGCAGCAGCAGCAAAGAGCAGCTGTCCTGTATTGTTTATTTTTTGTATATGTCATTACTACTTATTTATATTTTTATACGCATGCTTGTGTGGTTATCAAAAGTTATAGTTAAGTAAGTGTGCTGCACTTTGTGTCTCTACTAGACAAAAACTCAGATGACTATAGAGGTTCGAAGCTGTATCACCTCCCATATGTCATCCCCTCAGAGGTCAAGAGAATGTTGTTTTTCATGAGCAGTCCAGACAGCTGATCCCTGAATACCAAGACCACAAGAATAATAAAGAGAACAGCAGAACACTTACCAATCCCCCCCATTGTCACCGTAGTGCAGTTTATGGCTATATGCTCCAGGTGAATATTAAGGATTTTTGTCATTGACTAAGAAGGTCTTGTTGTAAACTTTGGATGGTGGAAATATAGCTTGGATGGCAGAAACTTTCACATTCATTTTTTGTAAGGCTTTTTGTACCTGTGTTTGGTGGTCAAGGATAAAAATACAACATTTTATGGTAGTAGGGCACAAATGCCCCCATGTATTGTAGTCAGCAAATCAACAGTCATGTGGTTTTCAAAACCACCTTGAGACATCTCATCTATGAATAACCTTTAGGCCTGGGCCAAGGTTGAGCAAAAGCATTAACCTGAAGAGTTTGACTTCCTACTAATGTACTTATCTATTGAATACAAAGTGGGGCTATACCCAACAGTGTTACTGGAGTTTTCAGCATCCACCCCTAGCCATTATACATGACAGGTTTCAGTTTTTTGTGGGGTGGGTGTGTTTGAATCCGCACCTCAGTGGCCTGGCATCATTGATTCCAGGCAGAGCTGTCTGGTTTTGTTGTTGCCAGTGAGTCCAATTGAGCAGGGTTGTTAGTACAGTTTTTTGTGGAAGGCCCATAGCTATGTTGGTCAGGAATTTAGTGTACAACCAACAGTGTGATTGTTGGTGTATATAAGTAAATGTATGTGTCCAGGAGACAGTGCTGGTAACATGACTTATCCTAGTGGGAAGAACAGGGCAAAAACAGAAACCATTATAGGGAGATCTCGCCCTTCCATGAGGATGTAGGGCATGGCTAGAATCATCTTCCCCTATCCCCCAACTTAGAATACCATGCCTGGGTTTTCATTGTTATCAGAGATAAGGGAGTTAGGGGTATGTCTGTCACCCTCAGAGGGATGCAGCCACAGCATCACTCTCCTAGAATGGAGCCTCTGGTATGAGTTAGAAGTACACCAAAGCCTTTAAGGGCTGTACTGAAATCCAGGGCTATGTGTAGGATGCCTTAGTCTTTTCTCCCAGGGCTCTAAGAGGAAAACCCAGTTTTTATCAAGGGTTCTGTGGGCCAATCCCAAGTTTATTGATAATGGCCTCCTGGCCATATTGATTTTAATGCAGGGAGGAGTAAGGCCCCTTGTATTGTCTTAGGGCCTTGTTCTGTGGAGTGGATACCAGTGGATACCAGTGGAGATGATCCACTAGGCTGTCAGCCATAAGCTGGGGGCTGGTCATTGAGCAATTGAACCGCCTGAGGCAAGACTTACATCCAACCTATGAATTTTAGTGCTAAGTAGCCCAGTTTGATTTTGAGGAGCCTGTTGAGCTTTCAGTCATACCAGCGGTCTGTAGGCCAAGTACAGTATGTGAAAATGTCACCTAATGTCTTTGTCTGTGGCCCATTGTTGTACCTGTGCTCTTATGAAATGGGCTTTCTGGTGGCATCATATGTGTAATGTCTTTTAACCATTGTAATGTGTTGATGATACATGTGGGCCTGATCAGCAGAAGGAATGGAGTAGGTTCAGCCTACATTGGTGGCTGTATCTATAGCATTCAAAGCATATCTATGTTTCTGTGAGAGAAGTAGGGGCCAAATATAATCTCCCTATCTTTTTTATAGCAGGTGGAGTGCTTGTGCCATTGTTTACGCTGTGTGGACACTTTCTTTTTCCAGGGAGCAGAATGAGCACACTGGGGTCATGTCTTTGTTGTAGTCTTTGACTCAGCAAGAGTCAAAAATCCAGAGGCCACTGCTGTGTTAAAATTTATATGGGATCTTATGTGTCCAAGTTTTTTGTGGAGTCAAGGTGCCACAGCAGAAGGTAGCCTCAGATACCTGTCTGTCCTGGGCTGCCCAAGCTGTAGTCAGAGCATCAGCCCTTAAAATATGGCCTAGCTGTCTGTGTAGACATGTAGGGGGGCTACTTTCTGTATTACGAGTAGTCACACTGTCTGCTGCAACTCTGATCATTGGCTTGACCTGTCTGTTTTGGTTTCGAACCAGACAGATTTTTATACTACGTAGGACAGCAACTGCTGTCAATTGTGGGACTGTGCCATGGGTAAAGCCATCAGTATCCTTGGTGTCAACAGGATGTCCTTTTTTTCTGTCTGTATAAGGGCTAGATGTCATGACCCATAGTCCTTTAACTTGTATTGTTTTTTGTGTCTTGTATGTCACATGTTACTAGTTTGGCTAACCACAGGCTACCTGAAAATGAGGCCTGTTGTAGATACATTCCCCGGTGCATAAGAGTGGGGGCCTTGGCCACTCCATTCTTGATGCGATGTCCATGTATGGACC